GTGCTACAATTGTAGATCTCGTTACTTCGTTTTGAGCAAATGGAAGATGGAATGGATGGAGCAATGGAGCCTCTATAGAGACGAGAAGTGAGAAGATGAAGATAAAAGCGGAAGTTAAGAATAACATTCACACCCAACTGCAGTCAAATAGGGATATTTTTTTACATGTGTATGGAATTGGCTTGCTGTACCTTCAGTGCTTTATTATTATACTTTAAAAATGTACCTAAATTGAAGAGTAATCGAATAAAAAATTAAAATGAATGGACTATCAGAATTGAAAGGACAAATCAATAGTGAAGTGATATAAAAATTGTTTAAGTCCCATTGATTATACATCTCACAAGGAAGATTTACTGGCAGTCGTCCAGTACCAGTAGCATTTTAAGTAAACGTTGAGGATTGAGGATTGTGAGATAGATTTAAAAATACTTAGTTGTGATTAAGTGAAAGCCCTTATCCCCTGATTTCTTAAATTATGCATTTTTCCTGTGCAGTATAGATAAAAGCAGTATAGCTTAACTGCTTTTTTAAATAAAATTTAGTGAATAAAATATGAGAATGTCAATTATAGTATGGCAAAAAAATAAATAATAATTAAAACGCCTTTATTGATTATTGAGCGTTTCTTAGTACAATACTGTTTTCAGAAAACTTTCGTTAAATGAATAATAATTACCTAAATAACAAACAAATTATCTATCAAAATAACAAACAAGAAACTAAACAATTTAAATAATAATTAACCCCTAGTCCGAGTACAATTCTTTATCCTATAAGATAGCAAGGCATATTTTTGAGGCCAGAGAGGAGATCATTTTACAGATTTGCACCGAAGTACGAGAAGTTTTTCTTTCCCAACTCAAAGTCACTCTTGGAAAGTGATGCTGGAGACTTCCATGGCAGGTACTGCGCTGAGAGACCTCCTCCTGGAAGGAGAGCCTCTCATGAATAAAGTAGTGTGAAGAGCCTTTATGCACCATGCAACACGTCATGATCCTGCAAACAGTGTCGTCACCCCTGCGACAATGCTTAAATGGAGTGACATGTTCAAATCTTGTGAGTTTTAAAATGATACGTTACACGCATTGCAGAATTCTGCAGTTTTGGTATTCAATACATTTATTTTCCTGGGATGCTGTTTCCTGTTTCCATGAGCAGAGAGAGAGAGAGAGAGAGGGGGGGGGAGAGAGATAGAGACAGAGAGAAATTCTATATTCATACACATTATTTTGCAGTAATACATTCAAAAATAAGAATATCACATGGGTCACAAATGACCTGTGCGTGATAGAGTCATTACTAGCTGCTTCATCAAAATAAAAGTTCTTCACACTTCACTACACATGAAAAAAATCTAACAATAACTTGGTAAAATAAGCATACAAATTAATTTAATGTACAATTATTATAATTATAATAACCTAACAACCATATAAAATGTGCAACTAAATAACTTGGGGAACTCATTGCTTTGATTGGGGAACTATGATTACATCTGATGAACACATTAACATTTTTTTCAATTCCCAATTTTACTGAGGCGTAGATTCCGTCAAGTAAGAGTGCTGTGGAAGGTACATTGTACTTACAATAGATAGTCCAGTTATCAGCTGGTTAGGTATAAACGAGATATTCTGGGCTGATAAGCGACTCTGTATTGTCAAGGCCTATCTCCATGAGCCAATTAGCGATAACCCTCTTATATACACTCAGTGACACTCGCAGGTCCCTAATTTCTGGAGGAATATTACGCAACAAGCAATTAGCAATGTAAAAGGAATTTGTTAAATTGATTGATTTGAGAACTCTTGGGACCCGTAATCCTATCATCACTGAGTTTCTGGTATGATGAACTACGGGAGAGGCGATAAGGTCTAAATAATGAATGTATGGATAAGCTAATAAATCTTTAACATATAGCTGCCTTATTTATAAAAGCTGAGATTCTTTGAACAGATGATCATAGTAGAATAACGTCTCCGTTTTCTTAACGCAGCTCTAATTATTGATTTTTGAATTACGAAAAAAGGTTCAATTACCGATGAATAAGCCCCTCCCTAAGCTATTAAACCATACTGCAGATAAGATTGAACGTATGCGTAGTAGATTCTTTTAATTTCTTCATGTCGTAAAATTTTACCCAATTGATAAAAAATATAAATCATTTTTCTAAGCTTTGTTTCTTAAAAATTATATGGCTTTCCCATTTCAATTTAGAATCCATTATAATGCCCTGGTATTTATACTGCGACACAGTTTCAATAATTTGGCAGTTGCAATCGCTGCCTGCGGTGCCACATGAGTGCAAGGTTAGTCTGAGTTCGGCGGGCGGCTCGCTAGCGGCACGGAGTGCGATAGGCAAACATTTTGTTTTACTGACATTCATTGTTAAAACGTTTTCTGAGAACCATATTTTTAAAATTTGTAATTCTTATGATGCAATATTAAAAACCTCTTCCCAAGTACGTGCCCTAAAGATTACCGCTGTGTCATCTGCAAACAAGAATATTTTCCCAGAAATATCAATTTTATCTATGTTATTTATGTAAATTAAAAATAGTAAAGGTCCCATTGTAGAACCTCGAATAATTCCAAAATCTAAATTCATTTGATCACTAATTACGTTATTAATTGACACTACTTGAGTCCTATTGCTTAAATAACTTTTAAACCATGCCAGGGCTAAACCCCTTACTCCCAAATATTCCAACTTTTTGAAAAGAATTTTCCTATCAATAGAGTCAAACGCTTTAGCAAGATCTATGAATGAAATTAGTATTTTTTCATTTATGAAGAGAGTCAGTATGTAAACACTGGTAAGTTTATAGTGACTGCATGAGGCACAGCATCGCAGATTCTGGCAGATTGGCAGCAGACCTACGACCTGCGCACAGTCCTCTCCTCTCAACCTCCCTAACATGCACTGTGAAGCATGTGTGCCGTGATCAGAGAATGTGATGTTGCTGTCAAGCACAACGCCGAGAGGCTTTTGGTTTTATGTTTCATATTGGTCATATTTCACTAATCACTTTGTCATATTTAAAATTGGTAACAACAATTCAAATCGATCAGCTTCGTAGGTCTGCCACCCCGCAGTGTGGTGCGGTCACTTAACCTTTACACTGCTAAAAATTCCCGCGACCTATTGAATCACCCATACGCATTCAAATACGGCATTTTTTTATTATTATGTTGTATTTTCTTATTGACAATTCACATGTTATAATTTTAACAAATGTAAATTATAACTAGAATAGAATATAGAATAGAATAGAAAAGTGCTTTATTGAATACATATTATGAACAGTATGAAAGGATACGATAGTTTGATACATGCACATACAACAATGGTAATACGACCATTGTCACTCAGGTCACTCTGGTGCTGGGTTGGCATAATGTCCATTCAATTTAATAAAACTCTCCCACATAAATTAATCATATTTTTATTTTAATGATTTTCTTATTGCCAATTCACATGTTATAATAGACATAGACATAGACATAGACTTTATTTGCACAAAACATTCCATACATGTCATAACATTTAGAATAGGTGCATTGTCAAAATTAAATCCATACATAAAATATTTAACATTAAAACTTTTAACTTAAAATTAAACACAAAAAAAAAATCTAAATTGTAGTTCTGTAAAAATCTTCAATTAAGTAAAAAGCCTTGTCAATAAGAAAATTATCTATTGTATCTTTAAATTTAGTTTTGCTTAATGACTTATAGCATGGCGGAAGCACATTGTACAATCTCAGCCCAGCGTACAATGGAGATTTTTCATAAAGGGTCAAACGGTGTCTGGGGAGTCTAAATATATTTTCATTTCGGGTTTCATACCTATGATTAAAATGTATTGTTTCTGGTAGCTCATTTTTAACTGAATGTATGTAATTTAATAATTCTAGAATATACAACCCCGTTAATGTATGAATTCTTAAATTTTGAAAATGTTTCTTACAAGAACTGCGTGGATGAGAGTTGGTAATAATACGAATAATACGTTTTTGTAACCTGAATAAATGCGTTTATGCTTTAAAATAATTTTAAATTATTGAAATAACTAGGAGATCTACTAAGGGAGGGTGTTTTATCTATGGTAGCACGGCCACCTTGGAGTTAAAGGTGGCCGTGATGGTAGGGATGTGTTGATTGTTTGATTCTCGATACCACCGATTCTGGATCACCCGTATCGGTACCCCCCCCCCCTAGATAACTTCCTAAATCAGTATACATGTAGGGGGTTTGCCCCCTAACGGAGGAGGGCAGAAGGTGGTGAGATTAATGGTACAAAAATTGTGTATTTGTATTTAGGAAAACATAATTAATCCATTAAAATAAAAAAAATATTAGGGGGACATTTTCCCCATTGTAAGTAAAAATGGGGTTTTAGGGGGGCCGCGATGGTTCCATAGAGTTCTCCGCCCAATAATTAGGGGTATACGAGGTTTGGACTGCCTTACCCCAAAATTTGGGGAAATACAAGGATTAGGGAGAAAATCCCCGCCAACAATCCCCACTCCCCAGAGCCACACACCTTACAACTACCCATATAATTCGTTAAAAAGAATAAATCCGTGGTCGTTCATCAATCATTCGTAGGTTCTATTATGTTCATCTCACATCATTCTGATTATACACTTATCCTTCACTCATATTTGGGTTAAAATACGCACCTAGGGGCGTCCCCATCTCATCTCAATGATTGATAACTGATAATTGATAATTATTGTTACCTAGGCTATAGCAGGTTTTCTAGCCTGTCTCTGCATTATTTACTTTTATATTGTTTTGTTGACTGTCCTTTTTGACATTTGTTATACTGCAATTCTCTTTTTTCCCCTTCTTCTTCCTTGTTTTTGGTTTGGTTTTGGTTCTTTCTCTTTCCATGAGTTGGTAGTTTGGTAGTTGGTATATTTTTGGTGAGTCAGAGTCAGCCTGTCTGTCAGCTGACCTAACCTCAACCTCACTCTCTCTCTCAGGTATTTATTTTTATTTATTTAAGAAGAAGACTACGTTTGAATGGAAGTTACAATAATAGTTAATTATAGTTTTGAGCCATCAAAAATATTTGTTATATTTTATAGTGACAAGGCCCTGAATTCAAATATCGCCTGACCAAAATGATACTTAAATGTCAGGAAGATTCTTTTTTAAAAGAGGTAACTTATATAGGTCAAAACTAATAATTAATTTACTAGACCTAGGTCTAGTACCTCTTTTTGTCTAAATGACCCACAATGAACACTTGTGTTCCTCCTAATAGAAGTTGCAATGCATGATTGCATTCTGGTTATTCGTGGTTTGGTGCTCTAGCTACAAGGGCTAACTTACTATGTCTAATATATAACTTTAACTTGCTTTACACATCACACCATTTATTTAGGCTATTTATTTTCAATTATGAACATTATTTTACAAAACAATACATTAATTTCTAGATTTAAGTTAGACATGGTAGTACCGTGCAAACGGTGGTAATAGTAATCCTAAAGAATATAGGTACCCTATCTTTGTAATGCATACAGTAAAATATATTAAAAGAAAATAATTAGTAAGTTAACTAGAATTAAGAGCAGAGCAATACTTAAAATGGCCAATAAATACAAATCTGTTTTAAAAGAAAAAGGACTCAACATGCAATAGGTAACTAAAATAAGGCTGTGAAAATTTTGTCAAAATTGTGCAAGCGATAGCGGTTGGTCAACGGAGAATGGAAGTGGGACACAGCCTTGCCAACTCAAACTCTGCCAAATAAAACACAACTATTTGCCCTAAGTGCATGTGTGCGTTGGTCAAGCTGGCAACACTGGCTGTAGCCGCTCCCGCTGTGCATAAACAGTCTTATTTGAGTTAATGTAGGCCTAGTTGAAAACTGCTCACTCCCAAACAACCGCTGCAATTTCTAATTAAACAGCAGTTGAATTAGAAACCGCAGCGAGAGGTCAACCGCTACCGCTATCGCTCATCGTGCATAAACAAGCCCATTTAACTCAATGGTGTTGAAAATCGCTCCCGCTATTGCTACCGCTCCCGCTCTTGGTGCATGAATGGGGCCTTAGACTAAAGAAACACAATTTATAAAATGTTCTTGGTATTAGATAATGAGGTTATGTAACATAATTTTAGAAGCATTTATATTGACCACTCTGGTTAACCGAGGTTCTTTATAGACAATAGATAATGTACCTACTGAAAAAAAAAACTGGACCGCACTGCTATTTAGCTTATTATGTTAAGTTCTCAAGTGGAACGGTGCAAATGAGGAATATTAAAAAATCTAATGTACTAGAGGGTGTACATACCAAATCAAATAGGCCTACTAGGCCTATGCTTACATTGTTAGATCACATCCTACACTTGTTTTTTTTTATGGCCATTAGTTATTTTTTAAATGGCCCTAAACAAACCTTATTATTTCTTTTCTAAGGTGGCCCTCAAACCACTTAGCTGTGGCCCTCAAACCCCCCCTCCACCCAGATTAGCTGCGTGAACCCCCCCCCCCCCTTGACATAATCCTGGCTACGCTACTGAACATTAGACAATAGGAACCATGGTTTAACGGGCCATCAAAGCTTGATACTGTCATATAACTTATTTATTATTAGGCCTAAGACCAGCAAATTTTGAATATACTCTAACCAACTTTAATGTAATTTTCGTGGGTCTTCTTAAAGTTTTCTCAAGATGAATCCGAAAATACAATAAGTCTTTGTAACACTAAATTACTTACTCAATCCTGTCAAAGCCTAACAAAACATCTAAATTTAACTTAGTATGGTAGGACATATTTTGGTGTTAAAACACCATCATTGAGCTGTGACGGGATTTTGTAAGTAGTCTTACATTATGTTCATCAGCTCAGGGGCTACAAACATGCATTTTAATCAGTTTTGTCTGAAAGAGTCCTAAGTGTCCGATAAACTAAGTTAAATCAAAGTTTACAAATTTAAGGTCCATTAACCGGCAGTTCTCATGGTTTATTGGTATGGTAAACTAGTCGGTATGTGGAGAGAAAACATTAGTTTAATATACAATGCACCACTATTTGAAACTAAAGGCCACGTTCCATATTATGATTTGAATCTTATGTAAGAAATATATTTTAGTACCTACTTTTGACCAGTAATATTGATCAGATACAATAACTTATTTACAATAAATGCGGTCTTAGGAATTTAAGAAAATATTTTTGAAAAACCAAGTGTTTCATGGGTAAGTAACTATTATATTTTCTTGAGTCTGGCATTGTTATCCATCTTCATAATACAATCCAAGAAAATTGACTCACTACAAGCTGTAAGTATCTCACTGATATTAAATCATATTATTTAATGTTCTTTCATTTATTTCAGTTTACTACTAAACTAGTTGAATGCATTGAAGATGAATTTTCAATCTCAATTTCTGCTGGTACACAAATTAAAATAAAAGGAGTTGGAATTATTTTGGAAAACACAATACTCTTTCCAGAAGGAGGAGGTCAAGTAAGTACCTACAAGAACAATTCAAATGAAGAAGCAAATAAAAAATATTAACATAGTTTTTATTTAAACTGGAGGGGCGTACGGTCCAAACCGGCAAGATTTCAACAGGTTTAAAGTGAACAAAAGTTCCAGATCACTCTGATAAAGATTCATTCATGACTATAATTTGTTGTTTCTTGTTGTAATCTGTTGGCTGAAAGCCTACTACCTCGATCTGATGACCGTGGCTTGGCGGGATGGTGTGCGTTAGGCCTAGGTGTGGCGAAGAGTAAGGGGCGGTTCACGAGCTCGGGACTATCGTAGCCCGAGCCCAGAATCCGGAAATAACTGGTATTTGGGCCGGGACTTACAAAATCGGGTTCACGAGCTCGTGACTTTATAAGCCGCGGACTAAACTGATAGGCCAATTACAGATAGTCCCGACTTCTGATCATTAGACCCGGTGGGTTCACGAGTCAAGTCCGAGCCCAAATGAGAGGGTTCGGGCCCAGAAAAACAATGGTGTTTGGTCTCCAACTCAGACCTGGTAGGACGCAGGTTTAAGGTGACATCATGCCGGTTTTATCTAATTAGCTCCTTAATTTTTATTATTTTTTAAAAACTAATGTTTAAATATGGTTCCTCATTAAATTCGGAACAATTTCATTAAGTTACCCACAACACCATGTTAAAAAAAATATGTAAAAATGGTAAAAACGCTAAAAAAAACATGAAAAAATCATCAAACAACTTAAAACGACAGATAAATTATGCACGTAACAAAGTAGTGTCATAACAAAGATATATTTTTACTGATAAACCCCATGTTATTACAATTTTAACGATAAAATTATGCGTAGAATAACTAATCAGCCACAGTTAAACCACCGTTACCTAACATAATTATCAGAAATAGTTTTTTGCCGTGGGAAACATCAAGCAAACCGTCAGTCGTTGAGTACGGTTCGTTGTGATATCACCGTCGTGTGTGTTACTCACTGGTCGCTGTGTGTATTAATATGACTATATGAAATATCTACACTGTATTAGTATGTTAACAACTACGTACTACCGGTACCACTCCACTACCTCGCATAGGACCAGCTCGTTATCATGACTAAAACCCTTTTATGACTAGATGAATTTAAAGATAGATTTAGATGTTCCAAAGATGCCGTCAATGAGTCATTTGAGGCGTTCACTCCAAGGCACGGATTTCCCCACAACAAAATCCATTACAGTATTCTAAATTGAAAAAAAAATGTTGCACTAATACTTTTGGCCGATGGCACTTTTCATAGAGAACTGGTGATTTATTGGATGTTAGGAAAGCTTGGATGGTAGCTATTTGTTTGGTAATGAAAGCAGAACAAATAAAATTTTCAGTTTGAAACAATACCAAAAGAAAAAAAACAATGTATTCCAAAATAAAAAAAACATTGTAATACCAATAAAACTAATCTTAAAAATCGCAACAACACAAAATTAAAATAAAATACCCCCGCAGCAGCAAACCTGCAGACTTAGCGAATTTCCATTAGCCCTGATTTGATTGGATTTACACTAAAATGCCTCCTTAAAAATATCACATCTACTCAATTCCCTATTTAAATAGAATTAGTTTAACAAGTACTTAGGTTTGCTGCAACTGGGAGGGTAAAAAAGTGGTTTTTTTTTGTAAAATGTTAATAGTTTAGTAAGAAATGAATGCATTTTCCAAATTTGATCAAAATATGTTCATAAACAAGCAAACTACAACATTTTACAATATTCTCCATAAGAATAACATGGGAATTTTAAATTTACAATTTTTTGGAATTTTCTCCGTAACCATTAGGCACACAATAACACTTAAACACACTAAATTATTAGTTTTTTTTTTAAGCTCTACAAAATAGTTTGGAAAGAAGTTGTGAAATTTTGTGTTTTTAAGCTCCAAAATGAGAAAAACCTATTTTTACCCCATAAAACCCCCCATAAACCCCCGTTCCCATAGTCCGATCATGCTGGTTCGCTAACTCATTCGAATAAATGTAGGTTTTACAGGTTTATACCAAATTTCATCAAAATTGGATCATTTTTGCTCGAGTTTTATATATATATATATACGGTATATATATATATGAATTTGAACGGATGGTGTTTTTGGCCTCTAGGGACCTCAGAACGAAAAAGGAAATCGGTCCCGGGTTCAGTTCTTACCATGAGTACTACGGTAATAGCTTATTCCCTATGGGAAATTCGCTAAAAACCATAGCTGTTTACATAAATGATATTACGAGCGAACCACAGAATATTATTTCAAAATTTTACAGATGGATAATTAAAGAGTGTAAGAATAACGGTAAGAATATTCTTAGATTGCAACCACGAGACCAGCACACACATCACACATATGATTTTTATATCTAAATAGTCAATATGTCTAAATACATTCTAGTTTCAATAACTGTACCATTTAAATAAGTTTAGTTAAAATTAGCCTATCCAAAAATCACCATCCTAAATTATCGGGCATTTATGCAAAATAGGCATTCATACGGTTATAAATACCCGGTTATTTTATGTCATGCATCTTAATTGAATTACAATAATGCACACAGAAAAGTATATTTCAATAAAGACATCCATTATCTGATTTCATACAAACGTGGCTTGTTGTGTTTATAAATCAATAAACTTTAAAATATTATTATAGGCCTATGTGAGCATTGAGACAATGAAATACGTGAAAAATAATCGTTTTGGATGTTTTAGTTCAGCTTTGTTTCACGATCATCCTATTGTATGGAAGTGCCTATATCGGTAGCAGTGGCTTCACATGTGTTTTCAATGAAATGGTGACCATACAAAGTAGGTTTTTTAAGTTTTTACCAACGTCTCAACAAAAATTCCCTGCGAATCCCTGTCATTAGGCTCCGCTTCGGATTTGGTCTCAACCAGCAATAAGCCCGGCTTTCACATCATTAGGCTCTGACTCGTGAACCCGTTTTTTGGTGGGCGCTTATATAGTTAGGGACCAGCGTCTGGTCACGGACTATGACGTCCCGAGCTCATGAACCGCCCCTAAATGTGTGTTATTTTTACCCCCAAAACTTAAAATCTCCCAATTTATTTCTAAAACCATTTTGAAGAGCTCAAACAAATAATTTTGTATATTGAAGTGTGTTTGTATGGTTACGGAGAAAATTAAATAAATTAAAATTTTAAATCCCCATGTTATTTTTTATGGAGGGTAAGTAACTGTTGCAGTTTGTTTGTTTATCCATATATTTGGATCTAACTTGGCAAATTTATTCATTTCATACTAAGCTATTAATATTCTACTAAAAAATACACTTTAATGCCTGTAGCAGCAACCTAGGTACTCGTTAAACCTAAAGTTATTTAAATAGATATAGGGTAATTGGAAATAAAATCAGGCAAATGCAAATTCGCTTAGTCTGCAGGTTTGCTGCGACTGAGGTATTTATTTTGTTAAGTCATTCCTATTTTTGGTCAGAATTACAATCTCGGTTTTGCTCAGAGTGACTGTGGGACCTTGATCTGCCATCCTTGTGATGATGGTTCGTATGGCTCCATTTTATTTTAGCTGGGCCATCTCAACGCTACTATCAAAGCCGCTATCAAAGCCAAAATGTCATTTGTGTATCCAACTAAATGGTTTCGTCAAGCATTTCAGACGTCAGGAAGCCAGTCGTAGGCGACGATCTAGAGGTCCAGGCCTTGGCAAAGTTATAAAACCTTAGGTGACACCAGAAGTTATTCATCGTCCATGGGCCTTCCAGATTCCAATGTGAGAAGGCAGATCCTGAGATAATGCCTGAACATGGAAGTTGTTCTCTAGAGCGTCCAGCATATCACACCTCCTCGCAGAATTGAATAATGCGTTCACACATTGAATGTTACAAGCAGCACAACCCGAAAAGAGTAGTGGTTGAAATTCTCAGCTCTCATCACGGCTCACTTCACCTCCTCAATAGTGTTGACCGTTTACTGCTGCTTCCTGAAGCTTATATCTGACGAGGTGACAAGGGCTCAGGTCCCTTGCAGAACATGGCTGAATGCATTTGGGAACGGATCATCTGCTTGAGGACTTTCCCAGCCATATCCAACATTCAGAGGAGTCTGTAAGAGGACTCTATCACTCTACTATTTTTGAAGCACCATCGTTGAGCTCTCCGACCGTGACATTGGTGTAAGGGGTTTCTCTGGCAGCTCTTGAACAGACTTGAATGCTGGTATCAGTAGGGGAGGGGGGGAGGGGTTGGAATAGTCACCCCCTTCCCCAGCTAAGCTACCAACAATATTTTTTTTTGTATCGTTAGTGGTAATGTAGTATATTGTAATGGTGTAATGGGCCTAGAGACACGCCCTCCTCTCTGAAACGCCACCACCTCTGACTGACTGCTTGCCAAGCATGTCCTCCGTGCTTCCTGCAGTTAAAGAATCCATAAAAGTGTTTGCCAGCAATTCAAGCACATCATGTATTTACCAAATTATTATTTAATTATTAATTAATTACCTAATTATTATTATTAATTAATTATTATTATTATTATTAATTCACCATTATTACTAATTATTGGTAATTATTAATTAATTATTGTTTTCTAAAAAGATGATATTTATATGTTATGGATAAAATTTTATGTAGTTCTAGTTTAGGTATGCAGATTTGAGGAGCAATATTATTTTTTTATCGTAAAATTAGATCCGTGTCTCTTTTAATTAGGATGTTGGAAAATAAACTCCTTTTACATAGCCTTTGTAAAATATTAAAGGACGAATAATACAATCTAGGGATAAACTAACCAAGAAGTCAGTGGGCTGTCAAACCAGCCCTTTCCTGACTGGGTACTTTGAGCTACAGTAAGTTAATGTACAGTAAAAATTTGGGATATGAACATTCAATCTTCAAACACATTTTCATCGAGAAAGTTGTAGTTAAGGTTAAGGGAACGGAATCAATTCTCTTTGGTTTTACTACATTTTCAAAAGTTATATACTGTATATATTTGAGGGTTTGCATATTAGTATATTTTATGAACTGTATACGAGACAAAGTGAAGACGTATTCCCTCAACAAGGCTTAGAATTTGACTTATTCTAAATCAATAAAATATAATTGAAAACTCCCTTGTTTACTCTCAATTTGTGTTGTAACATACCTAGAGACTTTAATTATTTGTTTTGTTGGTAGCCCTGTGACGAAGGTGTGCTGAGGCTAGAAAGGGAGGGGGGTACAGATGAGCTGAGAGTGTGTCACGTCTTCCGCAGAAATGGCCAAGTGGTACACCTGGTGGAAGAAAGGTGGGATGTTCCATGGAATGAGTTATTGCCTGGCACACCTGTGCATCAATTACTATCTTGGCATCGCCGGTTCTACCACATGATCCAGCATTCAGGTTGTTACTTGTGACAGTTATTGTAATGGTTTACTGAAATTAAAGATGCATATCTTTACTAGTAGAAAGGAGTAATATTAGGTTGGTGGTTTCTATATTTGAGCATTTCTTAGGACTTACAGGAATTTGTTTCCAGTTACTCAATAATGTTAATTAGAACTTTGAAAAATGAAGAACTGCTGTGATTTATTTTCACAACAGTATTTTAAGAGGTTTACGAGATCCATAACGATAATCTTAATCACATTACACATCTTAACTAAGTGTTGGGCCTAAATCAAACAATAATACAGGGTCCGGCAAAAAACATCCCTGGTTTGAGCAAGCCACCGCGTGAGTTGTAGTGGGGGTAGAGATGTGGAAGGGGTATTGTTCCGTAGCGGCGTACGTGCCATACGTTCAGTGTTTGCCATGGCTTGGCTCGGTGAGCATCGGGCGTTTGTTGTGGAGGAGTTTATTAAAAGTGGCGGTTCTGTGATTTCTACTCAACAAGCGTTTCTAACCCACCTGCACACCACCTCATGGAATCCACGAGCTCTGGCAGCATTGATGACAGCCTGGGTTTCAGTGTTGTCAAAGGCTGGATGTCAAGGAAAGCCTTGAGGACAATCTCTCAACGCCTTGTCAATTCTGCTTACCAAGTGATGTAGCGCAGAGTCACAGAATCTTCCTGGAGTGTAAGCGTGCTGATGGCTGTGTAGGGGATTGACTCTGAGGACTGTGTCCCCTACATACCTCAGTACCAGTTTCTCTAGAGTCTTCAGTAGGAAAGAGGACAGAGAGATGAGACGGAAGGACTTTGGATCCGTGTAACTTTCCTTACCAGGTTTTGGGTTGAAGACGACCCTTGAAATACTCCAGGCCGGTCTTGACCCTGAGCAGATTGCTCATCGCCGGAAGTAGTATATCAACACCTTGCTGAAGGCAGACGGGTCTTACCTCATCAGGTCCAGGTGATTTGTACGGAATGGGCGACCTTATGGACCATCTTACACGAAAGTGTCACTCTGTGGCACGCAACCCTCCACAGAGGGCTGTTTGCCCTTGTGACAGCTTGTTCCTCATCCTCCGGCTCTGATAGCTTGCTTGGGATGATGCTACCAGGGAAGTGGATGGCCGTCGTGGATGGCCGTCATGAGCATTTGCACTGTTTTTGGTTCATACAGCTTGTCTCCCCCACTTTCCTTGAGGGGTCCTAGCTTGGAGGAGTTGTCCTTTCTTAGGACAGTGTATATCCTGGATGTATCTCTAACACTTTCCAGCTTACTACCACTCTACTACAGAAATGTTTACAGGAGAGTCTTTTGGCCCTCCTTACGGCAAGATTATATTGGGTTATCATTCTATGGTAGCCTTCTCAATTATTTCACCTTTTTGCCCACCTGAACTGAGTCCTGACTCTCTTTTTAAGGCTGGCGAGTTTTGTGGTCCACCAACTCACTTTACATTGCTTCTTCACCACTAGCGAGCAGCTCTAATCGAAAGACGAGACTATGACCTAACCCAAGCTCCCAGAGGCAAGGTCTAGTGTGTTGGTGTCCCTGACTCTAGGGAACCATGTATCAAAACACTCAATGCTAAGAGCTGTTAAGAAATTTTAAGAGCTGATCTGTACAGATCCCAACCCAATCCACCTTTCTGGGATTCCTGAATTCAATCTTTTCCATGGAAAAGTTACCAATGTTGAACAAAATATGTCTGTGATCAAATCAAATAAAACCAAATCAATATCTCCTTTATTCATAAATTTACAAGTACAATGAACAGAGTCAGTGAGAAATGTAACTTATTGCATATTCACAATTTTTTAAATTGTAAAATTCATCAAAGGAGTAAATTGCTTTTTCCATTAAGAATCTCTTTAGTTTACAGTAAAATTTCCCACTATTACATTCATTTTTTATATCTTTTGATTAACAAATTTATATATCTAAGGCCTCTATAGTCTATACACAGTGTTATTTTTTATAAAATTCTAAATTATGTCTGTTTAGTATAACATATTGTGCATTTCTGGGGGATGATATCACAAATTGTGCATCAGAGAGGGAAGGCTCCTGGGTTACCCTCCATTCCAGGATTCTGGGGCTAATCCCCTCTGTGGTAACAGTGAGATCTATTATTACCCATTCTCCAGCCCTGCTAAGATATGTTGGTTCTGAACAGACATTAGCAATCATGAGACCACTAGAGGCTAAGTATTCAAGAAGTGCCTTAACTCTTGTGTTGTTGTTCCTACATCCATATACCTACAGTGTTGTGAGAGTTGGTGTCACAGCCCAGCACAAGTTCATCGCCAATTCTGGCCGAGTGTTCGACCAGCTTCCTAACCTCCTCTTGCGGTGGCTCTGGGCCCGTCTTGCGGCATGTACACCAACGCGAGTAGAAGAGTAGATATCTCTGGAACAAAATTCCTGAACCGGCATGCTAAAGGTGTCATTGTTCGTCCAAATGCAGGTTCTAGGATTACGGACCTGAGCCAAATTGTCTGGCTCCTAGAGACCCCCATTCCCGCTATTTTGCCATCTCTTACAATGGGTTCCTGGATAAGGGCAAAGTCCAAAGCCCCACCCGAAGTGCTCGCACCGAGTACTGCAGTGGCAGCTTTACTGTGCTGAAGGTTTACCTGCAGTATTCTGATCGTCATCAGGAGCACCTGAAAGAACATTGAGCTGAACCCTATTTATGCCCAAGAAAATCCTCCTGCCTCTGTCCCTAAGGAACTTAGCACTCCCACAGTCAAGCGCCAGAACCAGAGTCGGGTGCTCCTCCTCTCTCTTCAACTGACCACTCTCCAGTCCCTTGTTGACAAGCCAGGGTTTTGCTACTGAATAAACAAAAAAATATCTTTTGGGTCCTTCTTGGCCAGGATCCAGTCGGTATGAAGAAGGACCTTGGTGGTACGTAGGAGATCTTTATAATCCCCCTACAGAGATGAGGAAACTGGGTGTCTTTCAGCTCCTGGGCTACATCAGAAGCCTAGGGCTGTCAAAATGAACTTAAGGGTGCTACAATAGACCATAAGGCCGAAGTAGCAAGAGGTAGCTAAATACCCCAACCCTACTAAGGAAAAAAAGAAAAAAAACTGAAACTCTCGCAATCACACCCTGCCCCCCCCCCCCCCCCCCCACGCCCACCGGACCGAGACCAACAGCCACCTCCTTGAGCCAAGCTCTGGTTACCTCGTTTCCGCAGAAGACTGCGATCGCCTTACCGTTAATCTGTGTAGGTTTTTAGGATTTGCTGAGGGGTGGCGGCCAAAATAACCATCTTAAACAGCTTCTCCTGTAACAGGAAAAATTGTTCATCAGTGAACCTATCTTCAGGATAGTTCTCCGGAACAATCGCCATCTTCCAGCCCGAAAGTTGGTCCTTAAAGGACAAGTTCTTTCTGGCATCGCCCTCTTCAGTGCTTCTAGGCGGCGGCGGTGGAACATCCCACCTTCTCGCCCGCTTCGGCGTCTGCTGCTGCTGCAACAGACCTGAAACTCTTTGCATCGGAGAAATACCTGAAGCCCCTTCTCCAGCAGGACTAGGAGTTTCCACCTGCCTTTTCCTCTTAGGCATGTCAACATACCCTTAGATCTCTTGTACGCAGCTTTAGAAAGCCACGTACCCTCGGCCTCCTTCCTCTCCGTCGCCTGTTTCCTCTAGACACTGGGAGGTACAGATAGCTGTGTTTGTTGTCTCTCCTGTTCTGGAACAGTTACACAGACCTGGATCTCTATACTCAGATCCGATCCGGTGTTGCCACCTCAGAGATGGAACCCAGGGTTGGGTTAGCACAAGCGCTTGAATCAGCCCAGGGGTGCCCAGAGGGGGGGTACTGTGGCGCGTTTGCGCCACAGGAATTTTTGGGGGGGACTTTTTTTGAAGGGATTTTGGGGGGGGATATTTTTGCTAGCTGTCATAATGAATGTATAATTTTGTATAAGCAGCCCGAAAAAGTGTTTCTAAGTAGCTCACTATCAACACCAACAACATTTTGCCGTTCGTAATTAATATTGCTACTAAGAATGGTAAAAACGCACCTTGTCAGACAATCCTTAATATACCAGTGTCGAATTTTATTTGCTATATATGTTTTGGTGGTTCTTTAACTCCACCATCGTCAGGATTTACAAAAGATCCACTTCTGGAGATGTCGTCAGAATACGTTACAAGCATTTAACACAAAACACGAAACGATTACAGATAGGCCTATCAATTCACGCGTGTACATTACCGTCGGCAGGACTGGAAGTAAACTGAATCAGGTTCAGGCTATGACGGACCGACGTGGTCTCTAGATTGTCGTCTGCGTTTTCAACAGCTGATATTGGACTATTGTAGTGACTGAGACAAGTGTTGAAATAATGGAATTCATAAGTAAAATTGAGTGTTTTCACTCAAAAATTTTGTGCTGTCCCTAGTTTTATGTATTTATATATTTCAAACTCCTCAAAGTTTTAAATAAATTTCCTTTCACGCAGTAGAATTTCGAGACCATCATTTATATCCAGACCAGCATATAAATTGGTTATTATTGTCAATAATTTTAAATGGAAAACTCAATTAAATCAATCCCATTATATTTTCAACACTCTCCTAGGTCACTACAATTAGTCCAATATCAGCTTTTGATAACACAGACGACAATCCAGAGACCACGTCTTTCCGTCATAACCTGATTCAGTTTACTTCCAGTCCTGCCCGTGGCAATATACACGAGTGAATTGATAGGCCTATCTGTTATCGTTTCGTGTTTTGTGTACAAACGGATTGTCTGACAAGATGCGTTTCTACCATTATTAGTCATAAAGAAAAATTATTATTAGTCAATCCTGGGGCTATCAAAATGAATTATAAGATTACTTCGTTACAAAAACCTTTTGTACTACTGGTACAATTAAGGTATTGTGTCCTGTGGGTATTTTGCCCGGTGATTTTTGTAGAAGGCAGCCTGGGAGTGGCAAGCAACAAGTCTGTCTTATTTCGTGACTCTGCCTATATTTTTTAAACAAGATACTTTTTGCCAAAGTATTATTAATGCACATAAAACTATTTGCATTCTTAAGCCCTGTAAACATTAACGCCACCTAATATATTGTACAGTTTCAGTACTGTGTTGGAGTAGAGTAATTCACCGAGTATTGAAGACGTTGTCTATTGCAATATTGAGCACATGTTCGCTGACAATACAGATTCTGATTGTAAATTGAAAAACTTCTAATTCGTCCATTAGTTAGATACAATGATTTATTGTTAAATGACGTTTCCTATTAAACATTTAATTTTGATTATCAGCAAGTTTGTTTTTCGTACCTCAAGTTTACTAAATACTTGAAATGCTCGTTTTTAGTCCAGTGAGGTATGTTAACTTACAAACGGTCCGGTAAGTCTAAATTTTTTATATGTTGTCTAGGATGGTAAGTAGGTGTTAAAACCGCAAAATGCACAATTCTACCCCCTCCGCGCCCGCCACCATATTGAAAAATCGAAAAAATCGGTACTTTCTAGAGATTTTCGCCTATATCTCTGTTTTGGTGTGTTCTAGCGAAAAATGTGTAATTGCAATGTTGTAGACAATTAAATTTCCTATAATATAAGTATAACAATTTGGTTCTAAGACTTATGGATACGAAAATATTCCAATTGTTTTACAATAAAACGTACATTTTTTTGTTATTTTGCTAAATCTCTTTCTTTAGATTGCTGTAATTCAGTAATGAAATATTCTAGGATAACAAGTATCCCAATCACATGTATAGAGCATTTAATTACCTACAAAATGCTTCTATTCTTTAGGCCAACCGTTTGATGTGGGGCTGTAAAACAAGCAAAACAAATTAAAAGAATGGGTCTATTTTTTCGCTTTTGTGACCTAAAAATTAACAAATTAACTTTCAGTTTTCGGTTTAATTTTCAGTTAATGAAACCATACTTACTGTACTTACTACATGTAACAGTGCAATGCTCATGATGCAGGTACTATATTCCTCCCTTACAAATATACACTGGTGAGAGGAGGTGTTAAATTTAAAACAACCCACCAACACAGCAAGTAAATTTTTAAAGATTCATTTATTTAAACAAAATAAGATCAAAATAAGATAAATACGTAATGTCAATGTTGTAGACGGTTAAATATCCTAATAGATTATGTATGTAACTTTCTGTTATTTTGCAAAATTTCTTGCATCAAGGGCTTGCATCAAGGGTGAACATCAAATCGATTCAAAAACAATTAAATCCCACCTACTGGAGAAGTACGGTGGAGATATCCTAATTGTTGATACTCACAAAAAAACGACAATCTGTTCCAAAAATACAGGATATAAAATACTCACCGACAACTGGTACAGTACAATGAAATCCACAGATCGAGAAGGAGAGAGACTAAGAGTAGTGAAAGTAGCAGCAGACATAGTTTTGGAAGATATTAGATGTCAGGTCTACAATACCACAGAATACCCACCCACTGACCAGTTTTTGAATGATGTTGCAACAGTTATTCCACAATCTTTGCCCACTCTCCTGACATCCGTTATAACAAAGAACAAGAAAAGATCTCTGGAGAAATTGAAAAAGAAATGTGTGGCCTTATCGCACGCTGACCAAGGTCCTTTGTGTCACCCCTTCTGACTTAAGTGTATTCATGTACAAAAAGTTTGGTTCAAAGCTTCTGGTAGATTTAATGGCATCTATTGGATTTTCTTCCTCTTATCACGAATCACAATTACTTGAAGTGTCTACCATCATGCAACAACAACTACCTCTGGTGAAACCCAACCGTGGCGATGCTTTCTGCCAACTGGTTTTTGATAACGCCGACTTCAACGTCAATACTCTAGATGGCCGAGGGACTTTTCATGCCATGGGTAGAAAAGCCCATGCATGACCCCATAAGATGCCTACTAAACGAGCAAAGCTCCAGTAATAAATTTTCTAATATGTTAGTTATTTAGTTTATTTTAATTCTATTAACCATTAGTTTACTTATTTATTAAACGTTTATTATTACAGTATTTGATCTTATTTTGTTTAAATAAATGAATCTTTAAAAATTTACTTGCTGTGTTGGTGGGTTGTTTTAAATTTAACACCTCCTCTCACCAGTGTATATTTGTAAGGGAGGAATATAGTACCTGCATCATGAGCATTGCACTGTTACATGTAGTAAGTAGGCTACAGTAAGTATGGTTTCATTAACTGAAAATTAAACCGAAAACTGAAAGTTAATTTGTTAATTTTTAGGTCACAAAAGCGAAAAAATAGACCCATTCTTTTAATTTGTTTTGCTTGTTTTGCAGCCCCACATCAAACGGTTGGCCTAAAGAATAGAAGCATTTTGTAGGTAATTAAATGCTCAATACATGTGATTGGGATACTTGTTATCCTAGAATATTTCATTACTGAATTACAGCAATCTAAAGAAAGAGATTTAGCAAAATAACAAAAAAATGTACGTTTTATTGTAAAACAATTGGAATATTTTCGTATCCATAAGTCTTAGAACCAAATTGTTATACTTATATTATAGGAAATTTAATCGTATACAACATTGCAATTACATATTTTTCGCTAAAACGCACCAAAACAGAGATATAGGCGAAAATCTCTAGAAAGTACCGATTTTTTCGATTTTTCAATATGGCGGCGGGCGCGGAGGGGGTAGAATTGTGCATTTTGCGGTTTTAACACCTACTTACCATCCTAGACAACATATAAAAAAATTAGACTTACCGGACCGTTTGTAAGTTAACCCCCCTATTTCTGTCTCTATTTACTGGACTATTTTATGAGGTAAAGGGAAAATTGTCAGATAAATTAGTGGGGGAAGGGTAGGTTTAAATGGACGGCAACATAAATTGGGGGGGACTACTCCTTTGGCTTGGGAGGGATTGCGCCTCTGGGTTTGGGGGGGATGGGCACCTCTGAATCAGCCGCACAATCCGCCACAGCCCTGTGCGCTTCTCAAGCATTAGAATATAATTAATATTAGGTGGAGATCTTGCTGTGAGGGAGCTCCTGGCAAAGCCTCATCACCCCACTCCACCTTCCTCACTGAAACATTGCCTGATAATTTGCCCTCCCCAGAATACATGGGCAAGCCCTCCTTGATGGGGGGTGGGATTCACGCCTATGTGCTGACCCACCTGGATTAGTTTCCGTCATTTTATCAGCAGACATAATTTCCTTCTGAAACACACCAGTGAGCAGTTTGAAGGCTGTACCGTGTTTCGTACACTTCGCCCATCAATACCATCTCCAGCCCCGCTGCACACATACCAGAACTGGAGGGCAGCAGCCTTACCATGACCCATTCACTCCGCCTGCTGCTCATTGACACTGGGCCTGAACCGGTGTTCATAACTCTGGCCCCAGGTCGTACAGTGTTGCTGCTCCCTGACCCTAGGGCAGAAATTTGCTCTGCCAACATAGACACTGCCTTTAGTAATAACAGTGGCACGCCTTGTAGGCTGGGATTAAAAGACACTACAGATTAACTGACTCGCAGCGGTCTTGAGGGAAGAGTAGCCGTTAGGGCCCACATCTCTCCTGAGGGGCTTCGCTTACCTCTCGCCACCACTTGCATAGTACATATGTATTCATTTTTTAATTTTTTTTTTTTGCTTTCGTGGTTATTCAGCAACGTGGCTAATCCAATCGTCGATAATAATGGTTTTTTAAGCTATTATTTAGTTATTTCAATGTTTTTTTTTTACCCAGTACAAGTTTATTACCTTAAAACATAATACATAACTAATCATTTCACCAAACAAATGGGCTTTATCGACAAATTGTATCCCTTACAAAAAAATTTTGTTGAAAGTCACACACGTCTTTTAAAACATTCTCACTTAGGCATGCGTATTCATCTTTTCTAAAGGTTTTCTCACACTCGAGACAAAGATAGTGCATTACTAAAACACATACATTTAAACTATAGTGGTTTAAATTACTTGGTTACTGTCCAAAACCATCCTTTGTATATAGACTACAGCTGTTTTGTACTTCTGATGGAGCACATCATTAGGCCAGAATGCCAAGATGTGATTAATGATGCATCATAGGTATACCCCACCAGGTAACCGATAGCCGAACTCAGTTGAGCATTCCAGTCTGGGCAATCTCAATGTTAACAATGTATGTCTCTGGCGTCACTTAATAAAGTTTGTTTGTGGCTTTTGCAGTTACAAAATGTGAGTTTGAACTACAAGGAACCTACATTAAAGTACACCCTCCAGTATATATCAATTAAATATTCCTTATGGTGGAGTTTGTCAATAGTTTAGTACTATACAAATAACATGGCATTTTACAGGCCAGCACCTGATATCAGCATTGGCAGAGAGGATGTTTCAACTGGATACGTTGTCATGGTGTTTGGGATCTGAATCTTGCTACATTGAACTGGGTGAGTCCCTAAATAAAAGATGGTCGTAGGTAGAAACTGACAAAACATCTAGGCCCAACTAAAAACAAAACATGAAGTAGTGAATTCAAAAATCATGTAATTTATATTAAATACATAAAAACTGTTTTGTTGATGTAGACTTTGTTCAGTGTTCACAGATGCCAAACATTTTTAGAGGATGGTAGCCTTATAGCGAATTTCCCTTATAAGGAAGAAAGCTATTACCACAGGTGGAAAGTTAAGGCCATAGTATAAACATACTCCTATATGATTTATCATCCTGATGATCACATGAAGAATATTTTAATGTTAGTTCCGTTTATGTTGCGACGCTACTTTCTGCACTGGAAAAAAAATATTAAAAATGCAGTCGCAAACGTTTGCCGAGGATAGCTCAGCCTACAATGGCTGGGTAAAGTTCCAGGGTCTGCAATAAGGTCAGGGAAACCACTAGGCCAATAGCCGGGTCTAACCGGTATAGGGCTGGCTCATACACGGGCACTGTGAACAAGTCAAAAACAAGTCACCCAAAACAAACGTGCAATAACCACTACCAGGCCTACGCCGATTCTCCACACTCCTAGGGGGTCGTTGCTGACTACGCAACTCGGGCTTCGTCCTAACTATCCAATAGTTAAGCCCAGAGTGCCTAAAACACGGTGAGTTACACGACGACTTGCCAATAAAAACCACAACGCGAGTTATCACCAGGCGGGGTCTACTAGGCCACTATAATCCAATACACAACTCTATTGCCCAAGCTAACAATCAAACAGTTCACTCAATAATAATACCAGATAACAATACAAGTGCACTATAGGTAGAGTGACTACACCACTAGTAGCTGGTCTCAATAAATACCAAGCCAAACAAGCAAAGCTAAATGGCCTACTGGCCACGTGTTTCCAACTACGCACGCTAAATCGTGCAGCCTAGGTTTGTCGGGCCTCAGAGTTATTAGTAATATAACTAACTCTTGGTACAACGCAAAATAATAACTACTACAGTCATTACATTATATTATTTGCGCTCTAGCACCTGCCCAGAACCGTCAGGAATACACTTTAATATTATTCCTGACTAATATAAATCCTAACTACCGTCAGGCTTTGACCAGCACGGTTACAACTCTAACTCTTGCAATAAAACCAGATATTAATATTATCAAACTAATAATATCAAGTCGTCCACTCACCACAAGTGGGTCACTGACTCACTACCCAACTTGACACCAACACGCCTTGAGCACCAATCTCACACGACACCGATGTCACCAAAGCACTCCACGTCTCACTCGACAATCACGAACCAGCTGTTCACTCACCGTAGGCCACGACTCGAATGTCCTTCTCGGCTATCCAGTAGTCCCGGGATACCCAAGCTTATCCGAACTGATAAGCCGGGTCAAAGGGCGCTAGCCAGGTTCGCCACCGCCGCTTGCTTACCTCTACAACAGGTGCACGGCCAAATAGCGAAAATATACCCCCTAGGAAAAATAACTCGTTACAATGTAGGACTGTTTTGTTCTATATAAATAATTTGTTTCTTGCTATTTTACTTATTTCAATTCAATTCAATTTATTCCGACCTATCTTGACCTTGGAGTTGTTAACCCCCTACCCTGCCCTCCCTACAAGTTGCGTTGTTTGTTTACTACGAACGATGATGACAAACTGACAATATGCTATATTTTTTGTCACCAATACAAAATAACTTATTCTTAGTCATATCCTGTGGAGATAAGCGTATGGTTCAGTTCTCATCGCCCAGCAAGGGAACGGGAATGCCGAGATTTCTAGAAACCGAACTGCTCTCAAAGCAAGGTCGGTTAAACACACTGTATTATTTTACGATCGAAGGCGGATAATCCGATTATCAGTTAATACGAGGTCGGTTAAGAGGGGGTCTACTGTATTTTGTTTAGATCCATACAAAAATTGTGTTATCATAACAGTTGGTGATGTTTTAGCGAATTCAAGTAAAATATTGTAATGTTGTTTGTTTAAAATGTAAAGACGAAAATGACTTTTCTGTTTTCTGTTTTGATAGGATTTTGAAGTCACAAAGTGACGCTGGCTGCTAGTTATTATTAATCATTTAAAGTAATTATTTTATATAATTAATACTATCATGAAAGGGATCTACTGAGAAAAACACAAATAAATAAGAATTGTTAAGATTATGTAATTGAAACTAGACAATAGACAAAAATCTGTATTAGTAATTTCTTTAAGTTTAACTTCAAAATAAATAGGATAGAAATTTGTTCTTACTTTACAATAATTGTTTCTTTTATTTGATTTTCCATTATCTTCTGTGATATATATTTTTCTATTTGCATTCATCAACAACCATATGTTATTTAAATTAATTATTTTTCCTTATGTTTTACTATTGTGATTTTGAAAACATTGTTCAAAATACAAGACTCATTTGCAACACAATGCTGAAATAATTATTTTAATACTAATTATCAGTTATTAATACAAGTCTTTTAGATCTTCTTAGCTCAAAAAAATTAAGACGAAGTTGGACATTCAGAAACCTTTAATAAAGTCGACTGTTCGCAAAGATCACCAACCAGTGCCTCGTTCCTTATACAAGGTTATAGTACGCATGGGAGAAGAGTGGAAATTTGGAAAAGTTGTCACCTGGCTCGGAGCTCTTCATTATATGATCCAACTTGATAACGGTTATGTGCTAAAGAAGAAACACATCAATCGGCGAACCGAAGTGCCAAAACCCGATTCTGCAAAGGGCCGGAAAAACAGAAAAGGATCAAAGTCACCAACAGAAGTTTCATGTGTAAGAGAAAACAAACTGGCAAAAGCCTTCCACAAAAGTGTTTTGTTAGCAAATACTATGCCACAAATCCGAACCCAAAAGGACAACCAAGTCATAAATGGCAGCAATTCAAAAACAGTAGACTCTCAGTAATCCGGCAGATATAGGACCGTGATACTGCCGGATTACTGAAAATGCCGGATTATTGGAAGGTCATCAAGAAAATCACTTAAAATGCACAAAACACAAGTGTTTTATTGGACCAAAACAATTCGTAAGGTATATAGTATTGGAATAAAAAACTACATGTATTCAGAACATTTCTTTAAGTAATAACATTTTTATGCAGTGTACTGTACAGCATGGCCTACTAATCTAAGAAAACAAAAAACAAACATAACCCTTAACTGTACGTACTGTTGAAAGAAATAAAAAACAAAATATTCAAAATTTTTCATTTAGGAATATTATTTTTATGCAGAACACAGTAGGGCCTACTCATCTAAGAAAACGAAAAAACAATCATGAACTTTAATGCATTAGAATGAAAAACGACGTAATCAAAAATTTTCTTAACCCTCCGAGTGTTATGTGTCGAAAAATCGACACATAACACACTTTGTGTAGTGTTTTGTGTCGATTTTTCGACTCACAAACACTGTTTACAGCAAAGGCTCTATGACTGACAAAATCGGATTGAACTGGATCGAGTTAGGTATCGTTCTTTTCGTTAGATTCTAAGCTTTCTAAAGGTCTGTCTCTAAGCGCTGTATGTTCTCCGAGCCGATCGTGATTGTAGCAGACAGCTGACGTGCATATTTGTAAACAGGTTAGTTAACCTCGGACCGATGACTGATGTGTTTTATTATGTTTATCATTGTTTTAGAGTTAAAAATCAAAAGTAGTGATATACGTGGTGCATTATAAGAAGATTTAAGTGATTTTGAAGGGCTGGTTGATGATCCTGAAGAAGTAGGTAGTGATATTGATGTAAATTATCAGCCAGATTCCTAGCTATGGTTAGGCTATGCATTCTTAGCTAAACACGCTATGTACCGAAATCTGTTTTTTGCCCATAACTTATTTATTTGCAGATCTACTTCCTTATATGATTATATATTTGTAATCCTCACAAAATTTAGAACAAAGTGGCTATTTTCAAATATTTATAGGCCTATAATTTATACAACTTCATTGAGCGCGAACTTATTTTTTTTTTTTAATTTTCCAAAAAAAATTTTTTTTTACCTAAAAATTTTTTTTGTAACAAATGTTCCTTATGTTTTATGTATAATATTGAAGCCCATGATTTTCCAAACAAAATGGTATATAGAACAGTATAATTAACATTGTTTTTAAGCTTCTCAGATCCGTTTTAATAAAACCTTGCAAATGTGCAAAAAATAGGCAAACATTAAGGCCAAAACTAGGGACCCTCGGAGGGTTAAGGAATAGGCCTACTGTAACATTTTTATAGAGCAGAACAGTAGGGCCTACTAATCTAAGAAAATGAAAAAAATACATAACCTTTTTGAACTGGAATGAAAAACTATTTAATCAAAACTTTTCTTAGAATAACATTTTTATAAACAGTACAATTTGGCCTACTAGGCTAACTCAAGAAAATGAAAAACAAACATAACGTTTAACTTACAGTATGGGATCTTCACCAATTCCACAACGGTCAAAAAAACTGTCAATCTTCTTTTGCTTTTTAACTTGGAAAGACACTTTTAACATTTTCTCTTGAAATCGTTTTAAGAGAAGAATCTCACTCGCGGACACATTGTTTTCCTCGGCCCACTTAATAGACGTCGTAAAAGCGTCCATAGCTGCATCGTTGCTCACAGTGTGAAGACTGCACGCTGCCCCTCTCTCATCACCGTCTTCTTCTTCATCTTTATCAGTCATCTGGTCGACTATTTCGTCGTCTGTCATAATCTGTCCATTTTCTTCTTCCCCGCCTATCAGCCACAGTCTAACCTCATCTGTTGTCAGGCTTTCGTTGACTTCAACCAGTTTTTCAGAAATCGTCTCACGCAGTTCTATTAGTTCACGCTCACAATCAACAATTTCTTCGTCTTCTATAAGATCAACAGGGAGCGGCATATCAACATTTTCGTCTTGGTCATTAACTGATTCGTTGTTTTTCCTTCTGTTGTATTGTTCCAACAACGGCATGTCAGGCCATACGTTGCGCCATGAACAAATAATAGTCTTTTCGGAAAGATTTTCCCAAGCATTGGCAAGGTCAAAAACCACGTCTTTCAAGTTAGTTTCCTTAAGCGACTGAATCACGCTGGATTCTTTTGACAAAACTTTGTAAAGCAAAGCTTTTTTGTAGTGCATCTTGATCGTATGTATGACATTTTGGTCCATAGGCTGAAGAATCGGCATGACGTTGGGCGGCAAAAACATAACATGGAAGCCCTTACTTTTCAATTCATCTTCAGGAGGGTGACCAGGGCAGTTGTCTAGGATTAGCAAGGCTTTTTGGGGCAATTTATTTTTTAGTACTCACAAGACGGCAAATACATATGAAAAATCGTAAGTGGTGATCCATTTTGATTAGACACTCCAATCATCATCAGACCCAATAGGCGAATGATGACCCATTAGCCTATTGATTCTGATAATGATTGGAGTGTCCAATCAAAATCGATCACAACTTACCATCTTTTATATTATGTATTTACTGTCTTCTGAGTAAACATAAGCGTAAATATATTATTACAAGTGTTATTTGACTTATTTTTGTGCTTAGCCAAATAAGTTTGAAATGCTTTGTCATTGCTTATTAACACTTCCAACCTACTCACACAACATTGCAAAACAGTACCTCTTCACAATATTTGACCCCTCCTATTACACATAGCATCATCAAATATGGAATGGTCTTCTGGGTTAACAGCCCACTTGCTCAACGTTTACTTCTACTACAAAAACACATCGTTGGAATAATCTGCACTGAAAATTATCCTGCTCACTGTCAAGAACTAATTGTGGAATCAAAAGTCCTAATGTTACCTTTTTATTCTGGAGTCACCAAGATTCATGTGTACAAAAACATTCAACAAGAAAAATTATTCAATGATTAGGCAGACAAAAAATTGACGACCAGGTCACATCAGTGTTTCCAGTGAGAGACTTCCAAGTAAGTAAGTATACATTGTTATTTGGTAGGAATATTCAATGGGCTATTTCTTTGTTCTTCAATTTAATTCTATTTTTTTCCTAAGTGGAACACTACATTTTTGTTGGAGATATCTATTTCTTCTACCCCAATGGATGGTCTTCTCACCTTCATGGACATAGATTGCAACCCCTCCCAATCTATGTTCTTTTTGACTGAAATAGGTCATTAAATTGTAGCCAGTAATTTTAGTGAGTACTAACCTATCTGGGCTAAACCCATGCTTGGTAAGTTCTAAGGTAGCTGGTTGTAGTTCACTCAGTAGGTGATCTAGTCTTTCAATATTTTTTTTAGATCTAGCACATTTGGTGAATAATGGTGATGATGTTGTTTTGTGCTGTGAAATGTTTGTGTCTCTTTTAATATATCTGCCTTGTACTTTTGGAAAAAATCCATGAGATGAATATATTTTATGCTAGTGTGATTGTGATGTATTTCTTCAAACTAGAATTCCATAGTGTTTGTGGTTTATATTTCATTTTTGACTTGTATCCATCCTTGTTGTGCTGGGTATTGGCTAAAAAGAATGGTTTGGGTTTATTTGTTGTTGGTGTGGTTTGTTTGTTTCACAATTGCTGTTTAGTGATGCTGTGGAGAGAGTTCTGTTTGTTTGCATATGTTAGTTCGCTTTTTATTTGTCCATTATAGAGTTCACTATTGTTGTAACCGTAGGCTTATTTGGATACAATAATTAAAAATAGTTTAAATTCTTTTAATAATTAAAATTATTTTACCTAAATAATTTTATTCTCAATCTATATTTTGTGCTATTGGCAGAACAAATCACAGAGGACCAATATAAGACACTGGAAATTGAAGCAAATACATTTATTGGGAAGGATCTGCGAGTATCAGCCCATGTGTACAAGGAAGGAGATCAAGAGTTACAGAAGGTATTGCAGATTTCCTTGCAGGTCACATACTCTTTTATGGTTTAAAGAATTGCATATTTAATAAATACTCTTATAATCAATGTTATAATTTGTATTCTTGGGTTCAAAACATTCAAATGTAACATTTATACATAATCCCTTAGACAAACGTTTCTGAACCTGGGAGATGTGAAAGAATTTAAAGTTGGGCGTGAGCGCTTTTAGTAAAATTATGAAAAAAATGTACAAAAATTAATTTGGTATTGTAGTTATATAAAAACTTTAAATTTAATCAAATTACCTTATTAAAAATAGATTGGAGATATAATTAAATATACAGATATTTGAATCCCACAACTCAATATGATATATGAGCGTAATATGGTTGATGGGAAGATGGTAGGTGTGTTAAAAATTTAGGATTCAAGGAGGGCATTAAGCAAAAAAGGTTGAGAACATCTGCCTTAGTCACCAGGATAATTCACCTAGCAAAGATTGTCTTAATTTCTCCTCTTAAGCCGGGTTTTCCTAGACGCGGAAGTGGAGAGCGGAGAGAGGAATGCGGAGAGCGTACTCCACTTGTCTTAGGTAATTTAGTATTACTGTTTTCCTAGAAGCGGAGCGGAACACCATGTTAATCTCTTTTCCCCTCTCCGCGTTCCTCTCTCCGCTATCCGCTTCCGCGTCTAGGAAAACCCAGCTTAATGGAGACTGAAAACAGCTGTGTTAACATTTATAATTTGCTAATATAAATATTTACAATATATACAATACTTCTGAGGTGAAATTATTAATACAGTACACAAATGGTGAAGAATATAGGTGTTAAGGCATAGTAATCGTCTTTGACAAAACTGACTTAGTTTGCAATACAGTTTTGCTTTCAAAAAAGTTATAAGTACTGCAGCAAATGTTTTATTTTGTCTGGGAGCTTATTGTAGGATTTCAGGGCCATGACTTAAAAATTTTACTTGGTTATACCATATATGGACCAGCTGTAGCTAATTTTTTGTAGTTGTGTGAGCCAAACACAGAATGCGCTAGTGGCTAAAACTCTATTTTCCACCTTATTGTTGACATAGTTGATGGGTCATAACAGTTGCTATAGTTCAAAATAAGTCGGTCCATTAGTTTGAATTTGGTAAAAAAATTGTGTATCCGACAGAAATCAGTAATTTAGATCAGCACAATCTGTCAGTGGTTCACAACAACTACGATGATTTTGGTTAAAAATAAGTTTAACATGGGGATGGAATGTCTAGTTGTATTAATAGCCAAAGGTTATACTAAGCAAATAAATAAATAGTAAAGTCTTACCTTAGCAATCCTTGTTATGGTGGTCCGATATTAATTTCAAACCCGTAGGTTCATCATCAGTCGGAAGTTTAGGTAGACCAAATTTTTGTTATAAAATCCACCCGATGGGTTTCGTAGATGGATTTTATAACAAAAATTTGGTCTACCTAAACTTCCGACTGATGATGAACCTACGGGTTTGAAATTAATATCGGACCACCATAACAAGGATTGCTAAGGTAAGACTTTACTATTTATTTATTTGATTATATAAGCAATCCAGAGGCTGAAATGATAGAGTTATACTAAGCTTAAGAAGGGAATGTTGGTTGTGTATTTGCAACTAATGTTTTGGCTGAGAACTTCATCTCTTGTTGTCAACTTCTCCATGGACATCCTTCCATGGATATCGACTTTTTACATAACTTACAGAGGAAAGAAAGAACCTGCTTTAAACGGTCACAACTCCAGTATTTATAGGGGGTGTCATAAAAAAAATATGTAGCGTGCTCTGCAGACCCAGGCTAGGCTGTACATTCAAAAAAATATAAATATTTAATTTCCTTCATAATGATGTTCTTTGGTCCAGGATCACTTCTTGAATATTGAAATGGTATAAGATTACCTGTTTCCGTCTATGATCAAATCTATCTCACCACAAATTTAGGATCATAGACAGAAACAGGTAATCTTATACCATTTTAATATTTAATTTCCAATAAATCAGTTAATGTTTGTAGCACGTGTTTCCTTGTAGCAAATTTTTACAGCAATTAAATTATCCAGCTGATCATAATGTAAACAAATCTGATCTACATAAGAATAACGTAGTAAGTTTAAAGGCCACTGTTAGAGCTCCAAGGGACTTTTTCAACATGGGAAACCTTAAATGACATATACTCAATGAGATCTTTCAAATGAGCCGTAAACTACAATAAATCGTCTAAGAATCTTGGAGGAGTTCTGTCGACAAAAATCATGTTGGCCTATTTTATATATAGATTGAAAATCTAAACCTGATGGCATCTTGATTGTAAAAACTGCTTAAAAATAAGCAATTTTTATGGTTAAAAAATGCAACTATTTACAAATTTTTAATTTGTATCCCATACAACTGGAAGAACCGTCTTTCTTGAAAATGGGTACTTTCGTGAGAATTTTAGACTCTTGGGGAAAATGTCGTCTGTTTGTTACAACATGCCCAGGCATTGTTAATAGGCCTGCAAGGACGGCGTTGTTTTGCTGTTGATAGCATTTAAATAACTTTGCATTTATCCCATAAATGTCTGTGGTTTGAGGGTTTAAAGTTTTCAGATAATAGCAAAATCACTATAAGCTCCTCAGGTTTTATTTCTTACCGACTTTTAGCCCATTTCCCTATAGGGAAGTAGCTATTACCGTAGGTATACCACCTACGGTAAGACAAGGACCCGGGACCGATTTACTTTTTCATTTTGGTGTTCCTAGAGACCAAAAACACTATTCGTTCTAATATGTGTGTGTCTGTCTGTGAACAAGATAGCTGAAGTAAAACGGGGTATTATGGGGTTTTAAATTTTCAAAAAATTTGTTTGTTTCAAATTTTTATCCTTAAAATATGGAATTTACCAATTTTCATAGCAACCATCGTGTAGACCTTAAACCATAAACCGCAATTAAAGGTACAAATTAAAGGTTAAATTAAAGGTTGAAGAGAAAGTTTAAAAACTGTACCTACATTTAAAATTCCCATGACATTCTTATGGAAAAAAGAAAACTGCTTGTTTATGGATTTGTTTATCAAATCTGGCAAATTTATTTATTTCATCTATACTCTTGACAATTGGTCAAACACAATTTTTACTTTACTCCTAGCACCAAACCTAAGTACTAATTAAATCTAATATTATTTAAATGAGGAATACATATGCTTTTTACAGAAATATTTTAATAAATATTCAATAAGACAAATTGAAATTCGCTTGGTCTGCACTCTGCAGCATTGCTGCGCCGGGGGTATTTTAGGTAGGCCTGGTGTTGGTCAAAGCAGTTTATACTGTTATAAACACCGTTAAAATAAAACCATTTTTAAAGTTGCCAGGACTAGCTTTTTCACGAGATTCCAAAGTGTTAGCAAACTTTTCTGTAAGCTTGCACAAGTACTGTATATAAAAACTTCAAAAAAACTAAAAAATCACGATCACTACAATCACATCATAAATCAACGCATTAAATATTATAAATGCCTCCACAGTTTTTTATTCATTCTTTAGCGCACTTAATATTTTCATATTCCTGAGTCAATTCGAGTGATTATAAAATTCTTTTACAGGCCAAAACAAGGGGTCTTCCAGAAGGTCATGTAGGAGATGTTAGAGTGATTGAAATAGAGAATTTAGACAAAAACATGTGTTGTGGTACTCATGTCTCTAGTCTGCGTCAACTTGAGGTGAGTACAGAGTAGAGCCATAGAGCTAATACAGTTGCCGCTTGACTATCTAAACTTAGGCTATCCAAACTTAGGTACAGACATAGACTAAGCAACACAAGTACACTCCTCACCTCATTGTAAATTTTGAAGCTTGTTTTTCGTACCTAGTTAATTGATGATAGAAAAAAATAATAGAAACAAATTTTGTCTACCCCAATTGTGAACAAAAACCACTTGGGAAAAATGTCGACTGTTTGTTACAACATGCCCAGGCATTGTTAATAGGCCTGTTTGTGTTGTGGGGTAGACAAAATCTTTTTTCTATTATTTTAGGGTTATTATCATCATGATTTGGGCTTTACTATTTGTTGGTTATATAACTAGGAGACCAGTTATTGTTTGTGATTATATCGTTTTATTTGGTTAAATGATGTTTTAAATGACTGAAATAACAAGAAACAAATTGTAAACAAAACACGACCTCTACAGTTGGACGTACAGAACTAACAATAAAATTGGCTTCAGCTGTTCCATAAGGATGACAAATCTACTAAGGGAGCATGTTTTATCTATGGTACAGAGTAGAGCCATAGAACTAGTACAGTTACCTCTTGATTATCTTAACTTTGGCTTTCCAACTTTCTGTTTAATCCGACTCTCCCTGTGAATGATTGAGTACCAAGAAATGGGCCATTTTTGTATAGCATGACTTCTTGTGTCGAGCATACGTCTTAGTTTGTCAGCTCCTCCTATCTGCAGATATCTCTGCTAAAAACAGATACCTGTGATGGAGTGAAAATATCGTTTTGTCTTTTTTTTACAGTTACAGTTGTTGTATTTACTTGGTCAGTTTTTTGTCATGGTATATATCGTTATGGATCCAGATTGAAATATTTAGTAGTTTTAGTTAAGGTCAAACTCAAAGCCTCAAATTGGTTTGACAAAAGGATAAATTATGTTAATCTCACTTTTCAGTTACGCCTTACCCTTTCACTTCCTGCTGTAGTCAGTTTAGGTCAGAAAGTTGAGATTCTACTGTAGTAAGGCCTACTATTTTATTTTTCAAGCTATTGAAATGATATCTACTAATATTTGTGTAACTTACTATTGATTATGCCTTACAGGTCATCAAGTTTTTAGGAACAGGGAAAAAGGTGTTTAAAAAGAAAAAGACATGCCTCCTATATTTTGTAGTTGGCAGAGATAAAGTGTTCCAAAAATTTGACTGTATGCACAAAAAAGAAGAGTCCATCTCCACTATATTAAAGTAAGATTTACTGTTTATATTTAATACTTCAATTACTGTAGTAAAGTTAATGATTGCACATTCATGTGAGACAAAATGTTTTACAACGAGCTAGTTAATCTCTCTCTGGTTTTGAAACACCCTACATTTAAACCCATTTAAAATATTTTTACCTCATTCCTTGTGGTTGGTTTAGTGGGAAGATTTTCCATTTCCATTCCATCATTGTAGACCAACAGTTTGTCTGTTTTAATATAGGTCACCTTACGTGATACACCCTGTATATTTGTGTGTGTCTATGAACTTGATAACACGAATAATTTTGGTCCTATTTTTATAAAAATGTTGCTTGAACGATTATGGCTAGATACACTTAAATGAGTTGGCAAACCAGAAATACCGGGTCACAGGTACAACTGTTTTCAAAATTTTCCCTTTTGAATATAAAAATTCCCAATTTCCATTACAACACCATTTAGGCCTGGATCTTAAAAAAGAGTTTGTATATTAAAGCATTGTTGTAGGGTTTTTGGTTACAGAGAAAATTGAAAAAAAAACTTTACATTTAAAACTTGCATGTTATTCTTATGGAGAAAAAGTAAACTGTTGTAGTTTGCTTGTTTATAAATAAAAGATATTTTGATCAAATTTCATACTACAATATAGGCCTACTATTATTATTTTACAAAAAAAAAACACTTTTTCCTTTCCTATAGGAACAAACCTAAAATCGTTAAATCAAATCTAATTTTATTTAAATAGGGAATGAATCTGACAAGTCCAAGGAAATATTTCTTTCAAAATCCAATCAGATACCGTAGATGGAAATTTGCTTAGTCTGCAGTTTTGCTGTGGCGGGGGTATTTTCTTAATAAAAATGGGTATTCACAATATTTTCCCTTTTATAATATATAACAATTATTTCAGCAACCATAATATAACTATGAGTGTAAACCCTGATTTCTAGTTTGCTGCGGTTGCAGTAGTATTTTTAGGTTGTCCTTGAGGCTGTAGTTAATTTTGAATTTGTTAACCTGAAATAAAGCAAAAAGTAGTTTGTTCATCCAATGAGTCTTCAGTTTTTCTTTACTAAGAATTGAGGGAAGTTGTTAACTATGCTACTTAACTATGCTCCGGAAGGTAGAAGTTGAAGGTAACTATCTTTTTGTGTTTTATTTTTTTAGTAAACTCCCAGAGGAGCATGTTACATCCATAACAGACATGAAAGAAGGTTTAGCAGTTGCTAAAAAGGTAAGTTAAAAGTGGCTCCTGAGGAGTCGTCCCCCTGAAGGGGAAGCGTATAATTGAATAATTTGTTAAAATGATTTGAATGCCCATTAGCTGTGTACAAAGCTTTTAGACTCTACCTTTATTATTCTTTGAAATATTTAACTGTCCCAGTACTTTTTTCACCCTGCATACTGTCTCTAATTCACCATTAATTATTAGTCTAAAACCAATATAATTTGAGAGCACCAATAATTTGTGTGGAGCATGGAGTGTTGTTCTAAGATATATTCATAGAGAATTTTGTCAATATTTAGATGGAAACCAGTAACCAATTTTCATGCTGCATATTGTTTTATAGCTTTTTCAAGATATAGCACATTCTTCCTTACAGGAGAAATGGAAAGGGGTCATAACTTGTAGATTTATGAGATTTTAGCTCCATTACCAACATTCTAGAAATTAATCACCGCCAACAAATTGTTGTTGGTTTGTAGAATAAACACAACTGTTGTACTGTTACATTTCTCCTTTGTTACCTGACTTTGACAGCTACTAGAAGGTCACAAATTCTGGATGTTTATAGGCATGCACTGTGTGGATGTGATGCTCTCTGGTGTGGATTAACGTCCGCACTAGTGAGTACTGCGACTTTCCGCAGTACTATTCTGATAATTGGACCAATAATTCGTTAATTACAAGGAAAAAATGTGGCTTGGATTCCACTAAAAACTGTAGGTCCCTTAATTGCCATTGGCTGTATGGGCTATTAATTAACTGCTGTGTCTAAGGAACATGTCGGCCATAGTCACTAACAAGACTACAAGATTGCGTCACTCATCCTACACTCATATTTGGGTTAAAATACGCACATAGTGGCGTCCCCATCTTAAATAATTGATAATAATTGACTAAATTATTGAATGCTAATATTTTGATATTTGCAATTTCAGACAGTTAAAGAGTTACAGAAGGAGGTAGTCATGCTAATAATAAATGCTTTCAAAGAGGAAGAACCAAACCCTGCACTCTTCTGTTTGCACAGGTATAATACATATATATCAGTTCAAGAATTTGGAAAATTATATTTAAACTAGATTTTTTATTGCTTAAAATATTCTTTTACTGAATTATCTTAGATTATTTTAAATATTGTTCTGATGGCTTGCTTCAGAATTTTTCAAAATGTTAGTCTAGAAATTATTTTTGTGGCTGCTATATATCCGCATATACAATAAGCTATACGGGATTGAATATGGGAAAAATAAATCTCTGTGGCAAAATGTGGTTGAATGAGTGTTAATTAAGATACCTGGGCCTAATATATCTTCCATCAATCACCGCTAAACTACGCACATTTCCTGTCCCTGCTCGAACCATATTCAAATGAACCTAACAACCTAGTCAAAGTGCACAATAATACCTCAGCTGCATATCACAGCCAGCTTTTATGTTATTTAATACATCTAATTAATAAATAGTGAACAGAGATTTAACTATATAAATGGACTAATCTGATTTCATAAATGTATCTACAAGTAGCTAACTTGAATTCAAATATTAATTATAATAAACTGGAAATTGGACCACGAGACCACGGCCGGCTTGGTAAACCTAATAATCTACGTAAATAAATATTATCTCAATGCCCTAGTCTACACCCTTCCCCAACCCCTATTATATTATCTACTCATGCTAAGGCTACTCATCTGATCGAAGATGTCCACCACATGCCGCTACCGCATACTACTGACTGACTCACTCCTCGTTGCCGTGTCTCCCGGCGAATTTGGGGGTGCGTGCACATCTAGCTATTGTCACCATGATCGTCGTCTTTATGACATCACGGCTAAAATTGGTAGAAACAAACTCCGCTTGTAGTGGTGATGCTACATCTTTTTAGAACTTTAATTTTGCATATAAGGGATTTTTCTAATTGCAACCACCAGGCTAGGTCTCTCCCTGTGCTCTTCATGATCCACATTCGACTTGCAGTTTTCACTTTATTGCCCCATTGACTCACTCCACCTACAGTGATAATGTTGTTCCAATACTCGTCTTGAAGTCGTTGATAACTCTTGATCGGTTTAGTATTCAATTCATTCTGTGAGCAGCGTAGCCCCCAGACACCAATATGGCCATGCCAGTGCCGCCCTTACTGCATAAGAAAAAGTCATTTACTTTTGGAATAGCCTTTGTATAGCCTAATTTAAAAAAGGATGAGTATACTCTTTAAATTAAAAATCTTCTGTCTGCAATTGTGACAAATGTAAACATTTAATCACCCATCGGCTCCCTTGTTTCAGGCCGGATGGAGATTTGGAACTCATGAATTTTATTTCTAGACAGTTCAAAGGAATGGTAAGAATATATTTTAACTTTAAACTTGCTTTAATTTAGTTACAAAAATAAGGCTGTAGTGTTGTGTGGCTTTATTACGAGTAGTTGCTATAGTGCGTTCAAACAGCCGTGGCACCTGAGGGATTAGGAGACCCCAAGGGTTTCCATGGGGTATCCTAATCCGTCAGGTGCCACGGCTGTTTGAACGGAGTATAATATAATGTTCTGTAACCAAAGTAAACAGCTAATTCAAGAACTAGTGTTTAGATTTTGCTTACCGCACCGACATGATATTCACATACATCTTAAAGCTTACCAAAAGTGGCACACTATAGAACATCATCAGTCACTAAAGATAGAAAAATAATTGCTATAACTAGATTTAACTTTTGAAAGGCACGCTCGTTTTTAAAAATGAAGAGGGCACATCTGGAGGTTACTTCCATTGTATAAAACTGACAATTAAGAGATCAAATGTAATTATTAGGTCATATAGAATAATTTTCGTTATTGTTCTGGCTAAAGATTTGATTTCAAAACTTACAAATTTACGGGAACCGTTTTGTCTTGTATCCAGAGTTTAGTACAATACAGCACAGTAAAATTTATACTATATAATTAATAATTTAAATTTACCCTTCATCAGGGGTTTGTGTCCTCAGTGTAAAAAAAATCTCCAACAAAAATCCTGTGGGTTGTTCATGTAACTCCATTTCAACACTATAATGGTCTACCGATTTCATCTTATCTTAAAAATATCACATTTATTTATTCCCTAATTAAATAGCATTGGTTTAACGAGTAATTAGGTTTGCTGCAACAGGGAGGGTAAAAAAGTGTTCCTAATATGAAAGAATAAGAATATCTTTATTGTCTTAAAACAGTACATTCTTTAACAACTAGCAAAGCTAGAATAGAATAGATGACATTGTTAATGCAGTAAATTTATCATAAGTAAGTAGCTACACCTAGCAATAAGTATCCACGTTTACACGTTTGTACCAAATTTCATCAAAATATATATATATAAAGGAAAATTAATATATTAATATATATATTAATTTGAGCAGATGGTGCTTTTGGCCTTTAGGGACCTCAAAACAAAAAAATAAATCTGTCCTTGGTCCAGGTCGTATTATGAGTACTACGGTAATAGATTATTCCCTATATGGGAAATTTGCTAAAAATAAATGCATCCACAATAGAGACTGCAACTATTTGAGTGATTGTGTAGGGAAATATTTTAATGATATGAAACCTATTTTCACAGAATGTGGTTCTATTCCTAAGCATTGGTGAAGAAGAAGGAAATGTGCTCCTTGAGGGACCAAAAGATATTATTACTGAGTTGGCACCAAAGTGAGTATTTTTTATTTGTCAACTTTAAACTCATCAACATTGTCTAAGCCATTCTACAAAAAAGGAACTGAGCAATCTCAAGTAGTTTTAGTCACCAGTTTTGATACTCTGGTGATATTCAAATTCTCAGCCTTAGAACCATTTAAAATAGTCACACTTTCTTCTCTGAATCAATTCAAAGAGTACAGTAACCTCTTTAATCCGAACTAATTGGGACCGGGGGTAGTTCGGACTATTGAATAGTTCAAATACAGAACATATTGTTGTTTTTACATAACAATAGCTAGGGAAAAGTGAAAAATGCTTTATAAAGTAAAATACAGTGTTTACTTAATACAGTAGTAAACATAGGGAATAAACAGTACTGTACATTAAAATTGAAATAATTACGGTGCGTATATCAATGAATACAGTATACAATAAAGAACTACTGTTTAAGATTGTATAGAGTACAGCAATGAGGTGTTCAGATTAGTGGACGTTCGGATTACAGGGGTTCGGATTAAAGAGGTTCTACTGTATTTTTATAGGCAATTTATTCACTATAAGTAAAAAAAAAATTGGTCAGTTTTTGTGTAGATGTTTTACCTCACATCCCTCGCCCACGAGGGATCTCCCTCTCTTCCCCCTCTCTAATCCTCTAGGGATGGGGAATCAGCTGATCCATTCCCAGCTGATCGATGACGTCATGAGTTCACAAACCCTTGAGCTCTCACAATTCACAACGCCAGGGCAGCCGGCTAGTGGAGAGGTTATGTTGTTGTTTACCTGCGCCAACTGTGAAATTATACGGCGGAACTTTTATTATCGTTGTCGCTTTTTACTCCAAGACGTATAATTTCCACCTGTGATGTAAAATTCAGTGTTCGACAAAGTGTACACATGTTATGTATGTGATATTATATTCGTGATCGTGGTTCACCACCCTAGCCTACACAACAACTTTGGCCATTCTTCCCAAAGGTTTATATTAGGTATGGGGGTTACACGAAAACAGTTTATCACCAGTTTTATACATAACAATGCTATTCTGTGACTTCTGTGTGTATTTAAAAAAAATTGTGTCTTTAGTGATTTTCCCAAAAGTGAGGTTATCCCTACTTCAACCCTAGGATAGGCCTCAGACAGCCTACAACTAATTCCCTTACCAAGATAGGTTTACCACTATCACTGACCAGGTAAGGAATAGGCCTAATGATAAACAAACAATAGTACATATAAAATCTTATCCCCTCTATAAGTTTGACCCATTACAGATAACCATGTTACTTTCCAACCAGCTCTTTTTAATGAAATCTGTTTTAACTGATCCATTGTTTCAAAAACATACATACTGAAAACTGTCATTATATTTTCTGATTTAAACTTTCTCTTAACAAAAGTTCTATGTGGAAGGTTTATTCTTACAGCTTTTTTGCATTCTTAATATAGATTTTAAGTTTCCCTTATTGGTTGAGCCCAAAAGAGTAATTCCAAATGAAATAACTGAATATATGTATGAAAAGTAAACTACTTTTAAAGTTTTTCTTTTGCAATAGTTTTTAATCTAGTTAAGGCATATAATCCGGAAGAAATTATTGAAAGTAGTTTTTCAACATGACAGTTCCAATTTAGTCTTTTATCTATTACTAATTCTAAAAATTTAGTACTATCTTCAACAGTTTTAATATTAAATTTGATAATCGATCGAGGTTGATTTCTGGTTGGTCGAGTTTGAAAATTTATGATACTTGTTTTGTCCACATTGAGATTTAGATTTTGGGAGTTAAGGAAAAAATAATTTAAAACACATATGTCTGATTTTGCCTTGCTTTCTAATTCTTCATTTGTTGGGGCCTCGATTTTAAAATTTGTATCATCAGCATTCAAGCAGAGTTTAGTTAAATTACTGAGTTGCAGAAAATCTCTTAAATAAATAACAAATAAAAGAGGGCTCAGATTGGTTTTAAGTCAGTGGTTAAAGATTGATATGGAATTTTATAGTTTTTATGGTTATGATAAATAATTTCAACAAACTGTTTTCTGTGAGAGAGATAAGATTGAAGCAAATTTAAAGCAATCCCATCTGTACCTAGTAAGCCTACTAAGGCCTACTAAGCCTTGAAATTGATATATCATGTGATATTGAATCAAATGCTTTTTGCAGGTCTAAGAACAAACCCGCTACCTTAAATTTACTATTTAAACTATCAATGACCGATTCAATAAAATCAGTGGCAGCAGTTATAACTGATTATTCATTCTGATAGCCCCTGGACTTCGAATAATGACTTTATAGGCTTACCTCCGTCAGTAGTCCAAAATTGTGTCTTATTTCAAGTAATGTTGATCAAAGCTGACATGTTTCGTTGCACTGCAACATCGTCGGAGCTTTACGTCAAAAACATCAAATAATTTAAACATAAAATACAACACGGGACACGGAACATTTAAAACACGAAATAACACGATAGCGCTATCATGACACGGCACGGCAGCGGTTGTAGGTAAACTGGACACGGGTTATGTAACTTCGTCTCGTCCTTCTCTGTTATCAGCTCGGTGGTCAGCTGTTTCAGATGAGACTGTAACAGTGTTGAAGAGGGAGTGGGACTTGAACTGTAGTTTATCATTGAGGATGTATTCCTTGTGTTCTTCGTTTATGTTCATTTGATATATTTCATACTCCTCAAGTGTGTCCAACTTATTACCTTTCCTGCAATAATGTAAAACTTTCAAACCGGTCATAATATCACTCATTGAGTGATTACAATCTACAAGGTGTTGAGCAAACGCAGATTTTTGTTATAGGTGTTTAGGATCTGGTCGGTGTTCTTTATATCATGTTTGGAAGGCACGGCATGTTTGCCCTATGTATTTACTTGGGCAATCCGGACAAGATATCCTATACACGCCGGTTTTATCTATTTTGTCACCTATCTCAGTTTTATTCGTCAACACGTTTCTAGTACGGTTTGTAGTTCTGAAGGCTAGTTCAATGCTTTGTTTAGCGAGTTCTTTCTTTAATGCGTGTTGGATAGTGTGACTAAATTCCACGCAGACATATTTTTTCTTCTCAGAGCTGTCAATCTTCACACCTTGTTTTTTATGTTTTGTGATGAGCCTATCTACTAAACCGCTTTTGTTACCATTGGCTGTAGCAATATGTTTTATAATTTTGTATTCAATTTCATAATTTACTGCGTTTAATGGAACTGTTAACATCCTATGGACCAATGAATTAAATGCTGAAATTTTTTGAGAATATGGGTGGTATGAGGTGTTGTGGATTGTTTGTACAGAAGTGGTTGGTTTCCTGTAAATGCTATAATCAAAACTGCCGACAGTCTTCCTTATGGTTAAATCTAAAAAATGTATGCAGTCTGATTCTTCTGTTTCAAGCGTGAATTCTAATTTTGGTGCTATTTGATTTAAATATTTGAGGAGGAGGTTTAATTGTCTCTTGTTGTCATCAAACAATACAATGGTGTCATCCACATATCTATAATCAGGGTTGGTACGGTCAGGGAAAACCTGGAAAACCTGGAAATGTCAGGGAATTTTGTTGGTCTGGAAAAGTCAGGGAAAAGTCAGGGAATTTTGGAAAAAATCTGGAATTTCTCTTGAAAGACTACATTTTTTACAGATATGCTACATTTTGCATCTACGTCTCAATACTTGGTCAAAAACATCGAAGTTTGACGAAAACATCGATGTAACAAAAACATCTGGAACCTACCATCGATATAAAAAACATCGAACATCGACAGACATTCTATCATCACCCTCTGATTACTGGCTTAATTGAACGCACCGAGCTCCCAGTGTTTCTACACGACCAAAAGAATATAATCCCGGTCACTTGGTTAAGAAATCCCGTTTAATCCCTTAAGATTTTTGATGTTAAATTCTGAGTGTTGAATTGGACATATTTCGTTTAAATAGTTGTTTTAACATTGCTATTATATTTTGTTAAGGTAATTTTTTCGATTGGGGTTAGTTTTTCACTAAAATAAAAGCATAGTAAATAAAAACGGACGTCATAGCCAAAATTCCTGTTTTATCCCACATCCCCTTCAAATCCCGCTCATGCTCTAAAAATCCTGTTTTCGGGATCTTATCTTATCTTATCTGACAGGGGCAGGTCTTTAAGAGACCTTTAAGCACTTCATCCGAAATCGAATTATTTGGGGTGCGCAATAATTGCTTTCTTGTTGACCTACAAGTTAAGGCGCCCAATGAATGCCTGTAGCTTCCCAATTAGTTCATCCTCAGGAAGGTATCTACCTCTAGCCATATTTCCAAGAGTTATCGATCTAGCGTCAAAGAGCTTGTTACAATCAAAGAGTAAGTGATCAGCTGTCTCTTCTGACCTATCACAGTACCTACAGATCGGTTCACCATCATATAAGCCCATCCGTTGTAGATGTTTCCTGAATCTTCCATGACCAGTTATCAGTTCAACAATTAATTTAATTCTTCGTCTGTCTAGTCTCAAGAGGTCACAGGCAACCTTTTTAGAAGGCCTAAACAGAGTAAGCTGGCTGACCCTAAGAAGGGGAACATCGACCCAGCGTTTGCGATGCTTTTCCTTGGCCCATGACGCAATCGCAGAACATGCACTGTTTCGTGAGATGCCACAGAAGGGTTGTGGGCCTATCATTGAAGTCGCAGAGGCAGTATTTGCCAATCTGTCTGCAGCTTCATTTCCTTTAATGCCTGAGTGTCCTGGCACCCAGCAAAGCGTAAGGTCATTTCTCCTACCCAACTCAGACACAGAAGCAAGACAATCCCACACGAGCCTGGAGTTGAATTCGTAAGAGTTTAATGCTTTTAAGGTCGCTTGACTATCAGTATAGATATTGATTGTTTTGTCTCTGATATCTTTGTTAAGATGTTCTTGAGCACAAACTAGAATGGCAGTGACTTCCGCTTGAAAGACAGTTGGGTACACCCCCATTGGAAGACAAATGCCAGTGCCTCCATTCATCCAATGCACACCTGCTCCAGTGCCCCCATTTTTGATCTTAGAACCATCAGTATAGCATTCTAAATCACCTGTGGGTATGGGTCCTTTTCCGCCAGACCAATCCTTCCTATCTGGTATTAGTACTTTGAAAGGCTTTCCAAAGGAGTATTTTTTGGACATGTGATCTGAAGGCAAGTGCAATTCATCATTATGTACCACCTGAACAATTTTGGAGTGCCCTTTATTGTTTCCTGAGGTTATCCATAAGTATTCGCATCTAAGGCGTTGGGCTGTTTTACTTGCTACCACCTTGATGTAAATGTCGATAGGTAGCATATCAAGCAGACAGTCAAGAGCCGCTCCAGGACAGCTGCTTACTGCCCCAGTTATCATTATAAGAGCAAGCCTCTGAACTCCTGCTAAAGCTTTGACAGCTATAGTAGATTCCATCTTTGGCCACCACACAAGCGAACCATATGTAAGGGCGGGTCGAACAACAGATACATACAGCCAGTGCATAAAAGTTTAGGCTGTAACCCCCATGTGCCACTTACCATCCGCCTGCATGCCATAAGGGACCATTTGCCACGCTCAGTGACTTTTTGAAGATGTGGTCCCCAGTGAAGTGATCTGTCCAAAATTACACAAAGATACTTCACCTGATTCTGCAGCTCTATTACAGTGCCCTGCAGTCTTAGTGGGCCGATCCCATCCAGTTTCCTCCTTCTTGTGAAGGGTACTATTACAACTTTCCTGGGATTTATAGAGAGCCCATCTTCCTGGTACCAACGGTCCACTACCCTTAAAGCTCTATTCATAAGGTCAGTTATGGTTCCGTGGAACTTTCCAACCACAAGGATTGCAACATCATCAGCATAACCTAAGGCGAAAACCCCACTTTTGTTGAGTGACCTTATAAGGTCGTCTGCTACCAAATTCCAAAGGAGAGGAGAGAGAACCCCCCCCCCCCTGAGGGCATCCTCGAGTAGTTCTTGCCTCGATCGTGTCATTATGGAGTGAGAGCCTAACCTTCCTACTGTGAAGCAAGGATTCAATCCATCTACATATTATACCGTGAAAACCTCTTCCTCTCACCGCATTAAGAATTGCTGGAGTACCAGTATTATCAAAAGCACCTTGAATATCGAGAAATGCACCCAGGGCCACTTCACTGCTCTCTAGAGCTTTCTCAATCTTGCTTACAAGTTGGTGCAACACAGTCTCGCATGATCTTCCTGAGACATACGCATGCTGATTATTATGAAAAGGATGTGTCCTAAGAGCTGTATCCATCATATATCTTGAGACGAACTTTTCTAGGATCTTAAGGAAGAAAGAAGATAGAGAAATGGTCTAAATGACTTAGGATCAGTGTAACTATCCCTTCCTGGTTTAGGAATAAATGCGATACGTGAATTACACCACCCTAAGGGAATGTGTCCTAAGGCTAAGCTGGCTCTGAAAAGTTTTCGGGATAAGTTAATAATCCTACGTATGGAAACACTGCTAGTACCGGGATGCGCGGAAGGATAGGCCAACATTCATCGTTTCAATTTCAATACGATACTGAATACAATTCCTCATTGAATTTATAAAAAGAGAAAAGAATTTATTTATAAAAATAAATACATCTGCCTTAAAAAATAAGGTTGCCAATGACACAGAAAAAATTATACAAGATAAAATTGTATAAGACTGATTAATTTTGATGTTTGCCATATAGATGATTTCTCATTATGCTCAATGAACCTCTTAATGTTTCATGAGTAATAATTTTCAAAAAGGATCTGTCCAAATCATATTGTTTCCAAAAGTTCACAAAAAATTTTGATAATGTTCCTCTTGAACCAATAAACAATCCAATCACCTCAACTTTCCAAATTTTAAAATTTTGCTTGAAATATTCAAAGGTAGGATCATATTTTTTTTTCTTTTCTTCATTTACTTCGTTAGGTTGATTTATGTTTATTTCAAATCGAATTGTTGAATCGAGAATTATGCCTTTGTTAGTTTCTCTTTCTATCAATAAAATATTTACTCTTCTGGTGCTTCCTTTAGAAGAAAGACAGTGTACTTCTTCTTGCACTTCCCATGTGTTATACCTTTTTCGGAAGGCATTTGCTATGATACTTCTTATTTTGTGATGCCTAGTGATTCTTAGAAGTTCACCAAACGGACAGAAGCCAAGGGCATGTGCAAGGGTTTCAATCTCACCACAGGCATGCCTGCAGCGGTTATTGCCCTGACTTCTGCTGTGGAGAACACGCACTGGCACCACATTTGCAATCATTTTTATACTGTCTTTCCACTCAGATTCTGACAAGCCTTCTTTATTAATAATACTTTTATTTCCCGGAGTATAGTCTTTGAAAAGTTCAACACCTTTACCCTTTCAATACTGATTCAACCTTTAATAAACTAAAAAAAACTGCACTTGTAGGAGTTTATAAAAAAAATGTTATCCTGTTAGTTGAAACATTTAATAGTTTAGTTTGGTATTACTTTTTGTCTCCGGTACAAGCATGGTAGTTATTTTTCCTATATCACATGTTTCTTCCGATATAAGCCGATGATATCGCAAGCAAAATATCGATATATATATCAGTATCAGAAGCACCGTATCGTCTATCTGCTAGTGTCAAGTCAAGGCCAAGTAGAACATAAAGTGTGAGGTTAAGTTAGTTGGTACTCTTAATTTTCCAGATTCCAGATGTTTAATTCTTTTCTTATTGGTTTTATGAGTAAACTATTTAGGCCTACATTTTTTCTAATAATTCTCGATTCTGACTATTTGATATTTTGACTGATATTATACTTGACTGATATTAGACTGATATTATACTTTTTCCTGGAAAAAGTATAATATCAGTCTGGAAAACCTGGAAAAGTCAGGGAATTTCATTTTCCAAAATCAGTACCAACCCTGTATAATACATGAGTATTTTATCTTTGTATTTGTTTTTATCTGAAAATATATATTATAATTTCAACGTGATTCAAGTAGATATCAGTTAAGATACCTGATAGTGACGATCCCATAGCAAGGCCGTCGTTCTGTAAATAATATTTACCATTAAAAGTAAAATAGTTTTGACGGAGTACTTCAGTTAGTAGTTGTAACATTTCATTTATTGCTTCAGGTAGTAAGTTTGAATGTTTGTTTAGGTTGTCATGAACGATGTCCAGTGTGGTTTTCAAGGGGACATTGGTATATAGGTTTACAATGTCAAATGAGGCAAGAGATTGGTGCATTTTTATTTTAAAGTCTTTCGTTTTATCATGCCGTGGCCAAATCAGTGATATGGGTAGGCTTACTACAAATTTTTTTTCAATAACCGCGACACCAGCAGTCATGTGGCGGGGGTCATGGAAGTCCGCAGATATGCTGTGTGCGAAACCTACTGTTTTTCTTTCATGTCTGAGTCTAAGAATATTTGCCATATTACTCTCAGTCACCTCAATAGATCTTTTCTTCTGAAAACTGTTGTTAGGAAAGTAGCTATTCCCTCTTCAGTGGTGAGCGATTGAAATTGGCTTTCATTTTCTTTTGAACTTGTACATTCAAATACATTTTTTGCGAATTCAATCATCAAATAGGCAAGCCTCGTTTTCCCATCATTTTTTAGGTGCATCACGTGGCGTGTGAAGTGCTGCCTATCAAAGAGGTCACAATCAATAATAATATGTATGTTGTATTGTTAATGCAAGCAACCCACTCCTGGATGTCGTTATTTGCTTGAGCCATGTTTTATTGAATGACGTCATTAGAAGATTTATCGTAACGGGATGGTTGTTATACATACTGGTCTTGCTTTACTAAGTTTTTCCAATTCACCTTCCATTTTTCATAAACAATGCGAGGAGAGTTCACAGACACATCATTTGTACCAGCCAGCAAAATTAAAGGTCTCTTCTGAGATTTAGCAGCTCACAGAAAGTAAATAAAGAAATGTCTTATAACACTTAAAACATATATTTACGCTTATACTGTGTACTCTTGTTCAGTTGCTGCAATAAGATGTCAGTAAATACCATCATATATACTCCACAATCCACCTACACTATTATTTTGTTGAGGAACATTTATGACTTTAATTGGTGATTCAGCCGGACAACCAAAGTAAATTATATGAACCCATATAGATTACTCAGTGTGATCCCTCAGTTCGGTACAAATTCTGGGTATCTGCAGGATCATTTTCATTTTCTACATGAATGACACCATGAATAGGAAAAAAATACATATGACTTTTGGTCAAGATTCAAAGGCTCAACAATATGGTGGTAGTCGTTAATGGATTTAATCATGTGGGTTATAATTGGATTCATCAATAACATATATACAAGGTGTTATCATTGGGTAAACATTGTTGATTTGTTATTTTGTTTTCAGAGTGAGCTCTGTGCTAATAGGCAAAGGTGTTGTTAGTGGAAATAAATTTCAAGCTAAAGTGTCACGGCTAAGCTGCAAGAAGAGAGTTGAAGACTTGATAAGGGAGGCCCTTACTGTTCAATGCCGCTCAGCCTAAATATGTAATGCTGGAGTTTTTATTATCTGTTTATTTTTGTTTTTACATGTGTAAGATGCATATTGAAATATTAAGTATTATTATCCTATGTGTACGATTCTAGTCATTGTTAAACTATGAAAAATAAAAAAAAATAATGTTGAGTAAATACAGGGTAAAAATATGGAGTAAAAAAATAAAAATATAATCTTCCCTTAGCATTGTGGTCAGTTTAGGATGTTTCAGCTTGAACTTGTTCACTCTATAAAGTTTTACCTCATAATTTTAGGGGGGAAAAATTAATTTACTGTAGTTACTTTCCAAGGAGAATATTATTTCACCATGGTTCATCATAACTTTTGAAATTCATTTTCATTGCTGTTTGAAGTTCAGCTGAATAGCTATGGGAATGTTTGTATTCAAAGTTTTAGTTAAAATCCTCAACATTATCACAAATGAGGGCATGGAAAGGATTCAAAAACCTCAGAACACCTATCTGTTACACATATCTGTTAAAACAAATCATTTGTACTCGTATCTTAGGACGAATAAAGATTTTTTTCTGATATCCAACATTATTTTTACAATTCCTTATTTTAACAAAATGCCTGGGTTATTTAATTTTTGTTTGTATTTCTACTGGGTAATAACTTTCAGGTAAATTACGTTAATTTTTAGTTACAGTAATATAAAGTGTATAGTATCTGAAAGTCATCCCATTGTAGATAGGGCAAACTAAAGTGCAAAAGAAATATTCGTCACTTGACTGTGTGTTGTTGACTTTTAACAACAATATTCTTGTAGGAATATGAAAAATCCAGACTTTTTCCAAATACCAGGAAAGTTTTTCCACCCAAAGAATATTTCTGCAAACTATAGACCAATTACTCTTGCTAGTAAACTTGCCAAGATCTTAGATAAATGTATTAATATTCAATTCAAAACATTTCTAATGGAGAATAACATTTTAAAGTATTTGGATTCAGAAGAGAAAAATCCATTCTTGACAAACTATTTTCATTACCAAAAAACACCTATATAAAGAGCTAAGCTATCATTTAAAAACAAGACAAAAATATTCATATTTAGTAACTTACCTAAAGCTTTCGATACAATTGATTGGTTCTTACTAAAATTTATGCAGCTTAGGTGTGAATGGTATATCTTTTTATTGGTTGAAAAGCTACCTGAGCTACAGTCATCAAGTTGTATCAATATTGTGATATAATAGTTATCCAAGAAAGATCGATTACAGTGTGAACCAAGGCACTGAAGGCAGCACCCTCGGTCCTGCTTTGTTCTTAGTCTATAATTAATAACATTGGTAAATCAAACCTGCCCAACGTAACCCTTTATCAATGTGCATATGACAAAGTTTTTTTTTTTATTATTTCATGGAGATAGCTGAGTTTGGATTGTTCATGGTTAATCGTTAATCTGATCAGGTCAGGCTAGCTTCCTCGGCGGAACTCCCTAACCAATGAAAAGCCTTCCATGCTGCCCAATGAGAGCTTAACTCGATGAATATCAACTCGGGGTCTGTACAAATGCCGAACCATCCTACCTGAGACAGCCAAGATTCAGCTGATTCAATCAATTGTCTTGTCAGTGCTCTACTACTGTTTTCCTGCATATGGCAACATTATCACAAATGAGGGCATGGAAAGGATTCAAAAACCTCAGAACACCGCAATAAGATTTCTATATGGTCTGCGGAAACGCGATCATATATCTGAATTTGAAAAAACTGCCGGTCTTTTGCCCTCAGCAGCCGTATGCAGGATGCAAACCTGCACTCTGGTTCATCGGGTACTGGTAAAAAAAGAACCAGCTTACCTCATGGAAAGAGTGGTCTCCCGCGATCGGGTGTCTCTGTACAATACTCGACAGGAAAAGCAGTTTCACTTCCCGAGAGTGAGGCTGGAGATTGGCAGGAGGGGCTTTTCATACTTTGGGCCCAAGTTGTCTAATGACCTCCCCTGTGATCTTAAGTTGCTGGGTCTTCCAGCCTTTAGAAATAAGCCAAAGGAAATGTGTAGACAGCTGTGGATGAAGGACCTCAAATTTTGTAAATATATTATGTACTTTCTGTTATTAGTTTTATTTAGTATTAGTAATGAAATTGACAAGAGTTATCCTGTAAAGCAGTATGTACTGAGGAACGCTTGTTAAATAAAGGCATTTTTATTTATTTATATTGACCAGTTTTGCAAAAAGTATCGTACCTCTATTGTTATCAATCTGATAAAACATATCTCACCAATTATTAGCAGAATCAACACAAGTTATAGTTTTAAAATAACTATACAGTTGAATATATTAACGGACTTGTTACTGAACAATACTACTTGTGGTGTTGTTGACCAAACATGTATCCTTGACTTAGGCCTATTATGTTACTGTCGTGTGTTAGTAGTTGATGCATTTCAGCCAATACATTACATAATTATTTACTAACACATTTGACCGTTGTGAGACAGGTTAGTTACACCCTACTGATGACAAGTCGTTGCAATAGTAATCCTGCTGTACGAGAGGGACCGCAGGTTCGGACATTTGGTTCATGCACTCAGTCGAGCGGCCGGTGGTGGGAAGCTACCATCCTTGGGATTATGCCTGATGAACACCTCTAAGGCCAAATCCCGCCTAGATGGCGCTGACATCCACTCAGAGTCCGTGAGTGAAGACTCATAACAGTGTGGCTTTATAGGCGGGTCTTACGAGCCTGTGGCTTCCTTTCGTGGACAGATCCGCCAATTATGATCGTCTCTGTACTTGACGTTGCTTATATGAGGGTCGTTTTTTAAGCAAGGGCAGTTTTTGTCTATAGCGCTGTAGTTCTCTTGTCCACTTACTGGCATCATTGGTGAACATAATGGCACCACTAGCATCTCTGTATCTGACGTGTAACACCTTGCTGTTGTCTAGACAGTGGTGGATCCAGAGGGAATGGGCAAAGGGGGCGACCGCCCCCCCCCCTCGAGCATACATATACATATATTTTTTACTGCATGTAATACAGTAGTGCATACACATTGCGTAAAATAATTTGTCACACTAACTTTGGACAAAGAAATTGTATAAAACTGCCATTTTGGAGACTTAGTTTACATAAATTTTTCAGGGGGTACCACCAAACCCCCCAGACACCCTGGTTCGCCCCCCCCCCCTTGTGACTGTTCTAGATCCGCCACTGTGTCTAGAACATTTTTAAAATTATTGAATCTCCCGCTGCTTGCTAGATAAGGTCAATGATAATTTTTTTTACCACAATTGTGTACAATTTGTGATTATGTCCCTAATACAATGAGTGAGGGTAAAGTATGTAAATAGGTTAGGGAGTGGAAAAATGGCTGTGAAAACCTTTGTGGTCTTGTGGTCTGTGAGAAGTCTGGGTACCCTCCAAAAACAAAATCTCCTTCTGAAATGGACATTTTCACGGCCATTTTTAAACTCCCGAATTCATATCTGCACTTAACCTTTACGCATTGCCTTAGAGCCATCAACTTCAGTCATGTGTCAATGAATGTCTGCAGCCAACATGTTTCTTATTGCAGTCAAAAAAACATATCACTAACCTTATCTCGCATGCAGCGGGATATTAAATAATTTTTAAAATTGTCTAGGCACACAGCAAAGTGTACACGTCACATTTAAGCGTGTAAGCACATGGTAAGTTATGTGTCCATGTTCCTTATATAAACTGTTGACAACCATTTCGAAGCGACAGTTTTATAAAAAGTTTTTCTTGTGGAAGATCTGAAGAAAAGGATTTAGTCATTTGAAACGTGCCATTCATAAGGATTACATAGGATCACTCTGGCAGTACCCAGGTAATTTTATACCTTTTATAGTAAAAATGTTGATGGGTTTGGATTTCAAAATGTCTTACGATGCAATCAAATGTACATTATGAAACAGTAGGGCAGTATAGGTTACCCTACTATTTGTTTATTTGTGTTTTTTGTCTTGCGTTATTTTGTATGCAGAATCTAAATACTCCTTTGGCTCTCGCCGTTAAAGCCAAAACCTGAAGCCAAAAAGTTGACGAATACAAGCGTTGGGATAGTCGTTTGGGTGTATTGTATTGTATTGTACATTAGCGGACTCAAGGTCCCAGCACGTTAACCGAAGCTTATTGTGCATGCCCCACTTGCCGCTAACTAGGTAAGCCTATGCCCGTGTCCTTGACCAGGTCCGGGAGCTTTGCCCAATGTTAGCGTCTGGTTCATCACCTGGCTGCTTTTGTCCGAACAGAGCCCTTCTAGCCCCAAGTCTGTAGCAATCCAGAATGATGTGCTTTTCAGTCTCATTGGACTGGTTGCATCGATACTCCTGGTTGTCATTGATGATTCCTAGAGTCTGAAGGTGTTTGCTGATACATTCCTGTGTCTTGACTCTCATCAGACCTAGGGTTTAAACCTCTGGCCTTCTTTGAAGGTCCTTCTGCCAAGGGTGGAGTGACCGTTACACCTCTAGGGTGCTTAGCCCCCCTTGTCCCGACATCCAGACCCACAGATGGTTCTGGTGTTTCTCTGGTCTTGGGGACTTCTTCGAGATATGGGTCTTGGTCTTGTTCTGAATGAGCTAACAACTGAAGTGTTGGCAATGCAGATTCCAGATTTGAATCGAGCTTTGGTTCTGGTAGGACTTAGGTTTTTTAGAAACCATAACGTTCTCACCAATCAACTCTTGTGAAGCTGAAGGTTGAGCCCTGTATGCCCGAGTAAGACTGTTACTCTAAGAGGTTGCCCCTGCTGAGGAGCCCAGTGGCATTCACCTTTTTGGCACTGGTTGCTTGACACCATCACTGAGGTTTGGCTAAAAAAGAAGGTAAGGAAGGGTGAAGGAAAGAAGAATTCTTCAATAGCAAAGCAAAGAAGAGAGAAGAAGTATGCTAGTAGTCATCGAACCCAGTACAAAGAAGAGAAGAGATCTGGGGGTTGGCTAGGGTACCTCGGTGTTGCCAGTTTACAATAGGCCTCATGTGTGGTTAACAGATAACTACCCTTGAGGGAAGTGGTTTGGGTGAGACTAAACTGTGTGATAAATGAATAATGAAGACTGAGGAGAAAGTTGGCTCTTTATATCTGATTCAATAAAAATTTGGATCTTTGCTGTAGCCTATGTTGGAACAAGACAAAAGAGACTAAGCAGTGTAATTTCAGACATGCAAAATGAAGTCTATTTGCTGCATCCAAACTCGGAGGTTGGAAAACAGTAGCTACTTCCAAAATATAACGGTTTCAAAATGTATGATAGCTACCTGCTAAAAAACTATAACTCAAGCATGTTATTACAAAGCAAACTAAATTTTTATCATAAAAGTAAATAAATAAATGCAGTAATTATAAGATACTTATGCTTAGGTTATTAATTTATAATGTTAATTTTTTATGTAGCTATAACTACTAGGTCCCTGCCCATAACTGGGCAGTTGGCACCAACCCTGAAGCATCTTGGCCCTATGCTTTGCTTCGCAACATTCATAGACCAATTTCAGAGTAATGTGTCTTTGTAGCTTTTTCCGCATAAATTTAGATGGTTTTAACATGATTTGACTGATTTTTGCACAAGTAAAAAGAGCTTTGGTTAGCAAAAGGAACACCATCTTTAGCTGTGGAAATGTGAGCTTTATTTTTGAATGCAGATATTACTTTATCATGATTGGAAATGATTGGCTCATACCTGTCTAGATCCAAAAACATCTCAGTTTCTGCATCCCATTAACATATCCTGAGTAAACACTGTTTCGTAAGACAACTTCCTTTCAAGTCCTTAGCAGCAATGGAAAAAATAGTTCTAGTTTTCTAAGGCAGGGGTTTCCAACCAACATTGTACATTTTTGGAGGGAAGGCTGGCCAGTAATTTTTCATTGCAGAAAGTTCCCCTCTCCCATGAACCCACGAAGTCGTTAACTAATTGAGAATTTAGTGTTGGTTTTTGATATTTTCTTGATCATTTTGTATTTGCTATCCTTTATACAACTTCTTGGCTTGCTAAGTTTCAGATAGGCCTAATGAAAACACAGGACTACATATAATAAATATTGTTTTTACAGACTACAGTGCCACAAAATTTACTTCGTTGAAGTTTTAATTGTAATGGTGATAAAAACTTTACAATACAGGAGCTTACAATAAGTGTAAAGCGTAAAATTTACAATCATTTTTAGTGAGAATATTGCATTTGCCACTTAAAATGTCAGCTCATTTAGGGTTGTAATTTTTAGTGTTGACAATTAGAATTGAATCCAAATTCCACTTAACTAGGTGGATCTGTATTTATCTCGGTAAGTACACGTTTACTACAAATTTTCCCGTACAGTAGGTACCAACAAATTGGCAAGTGAGAGACGTATAACACGTCAGCCAGCCGACCGGGAGACTGGCAATTGTACGCGAATTTTGTTGAACTTGACAACAGGTAAATGACAGTGAATTGCACTTGACTCTGGTATAAGCCGCGAGTTCGATCAATATCCTATGGCCTACCCTTCATTCAATGACGGCGTTCCATTGATTCTCTTTCAACGTCGCAATGAAATTGCGATCATCGGTGACGAGTGTTGCCGAGATCGCGGGAGACGATGACGATCTATCTCGGTATTACAGAGACCGCCAAAGCACAGGTGTTTACGCGATCGCGGGAGAAGATCATCGGTGTTTGCTACTAAAAAGAATTGTTCATCAACCCATGCTGGTTTTCAAAGGGCCGGAATTAACTGCTCGCGGGCCAAAGTTAGAGACTCCTGTTCTAAAGGGACCCTTCTGTGTTTGCTACTAGTGAGAAGGGGGTTCATTGAGATTTCGAGTTCGACTAAGTACTTTTCTCTTCGTCTATCTTCGCCAATGTTCAAATTACTTTATACGAATAAGTAAAGCACATAATTTGAAAATAAACTGTCTGAAAAAAATAATTTACACCGAGGAATCCGTGGGTGTTTGGGTCAGCCGGGTACTCAATAAAACACATATTGAGATAAACCTACAGATGATATAGTTAGAAGTAGGCCTATGTGAAATTTTAAAGCACACAATATCTATTCCCTTCATCAACCAAGCATTACTACTTATGGACTACTACTTATGGACCTTCCCTTGTATCATATCTGCGTGTGGCAGTGAGGAATGACTTCAGGGATTTGAAGCAGCAAACATTTTTGTTTAGACCCAACATAGGCCTACATGAGTTACAACTTATTGTAATATCAGAAATCGGTTGAGATTGAGTTGTTTATCTGTTTACGAACATATTCAAAGTCTGAATCCACCACAAATGATAGTCCCCTTTGTGAACTTCACTGGGTATTGGCTAGAGCTCCGAGGTGGTCCATTCACAAGTTAAGGGTATAAACCACGTAGAGGTGGCAGAGAAATGCGATACTTTCCCCTCCTGTATGTCGTACAAGTGCTGCTGCGGGGAGGGGGGTGCATTGCTGCTAGCAGCTAGCAGGTGTCCGCTACTCGCTGCGCTGCTCGCTAGTCTCAGTGTAGTGTATAGTCTGTGTCGTGTATGCCTAGTGCTCAGGAACTTTAACTTTCACATTGCCCGGTAAGTGCATCCATCACTTCTTATATTTTTCTCTTTTTATTACACCAGTTATATTTTTGTAGTGCATTTTCTATGTGTTATTTACTCGAATGACACTAGATTACTATCCATTAGAAACAACTTGACATAAGTTAATTATATTTTTGTAATTTTATTGACAGTTTGTGTCTCCAAAGGTTAGTGTTTGGATACAAAAAGATCCACTGTCCATGAACGCGTTACGTTTGGTCGGCATTTATTAGTAGTTTGTATTTTTTTCTAACTTAGTCCGCCGTAATGACGCAGACGACTTCTAAATAGTGATGTATGTCAAATAGTTTTACCCGTACCATATTAATACCTTTTGTTGAAAACCATTGTAAATAATTGCATGTTGTAGTCAGTTTTTAAAATATTTAGGCTTATTTAACAGAATGTTTTTTACACATTTCTGTACCTTTGACAACCTCTATTGTCAATCATTTTGCTCATTGTCGTGTTTTATTTTTTTCCTTAGGCTACCTATATTTTTTTAATTTGAAATCTTGACGATTGCGATCATGTCCGTTTTAGTGTTCGTTTATTTAGGACGTATAGTTTTAAGTTTATAAATAACAAATTTTAATTTTACATCCAACCATTGGGTGCATATTATTCTCACTTGTAAGTAGTTTGTATCAATTAACATTGACCACACACAGGTAGAATTCCTATTAAATATCACGATAGATATCACATCTACATGGACCAGCTGTAGCCAAATTAGACTCCAATACAACATAACTAAATGAGCGACTCACTGAATGGGCTGCTGCTAAAATTCTGTTTTTAGTTTGGCTTTCAACATAGATCGGTAATTTACAACAGACCCTCTGCGGCTCAACTGCAGGGGAAGGGATGTCTAGTTCGATCCATAGTCAACGGGTTTACTTGTATCAATGAGGTAGTAGTACATAGGCATGTTCACAGTTTGGTGTTGTCATGCTGTTATCAGTCAAGTGTTGGGCGGGGTCTGGTGCGGTCGCAAGCGGGACACCGCAGGCCGCATGGGCGCAGATTTCACTTTGGGCCCCATTGACCGGGATGCCCAGAAACACGGCGATCCAAGCCGAACCGGCCGCCACTCCTCTCTCTCCATCTCCCTCTCGCTTGCACACTCGAGCCAGAATTTTAAACGTGTGCTGATTTTGTAAAAGGAGTACCAAGAGAATTAACCGGCTGTGACCGGGGGAAAAGTTGAAATGCATTCGACAAGTCTTGTGTCAATGCAACAGCTCCTTTCCTAGAAAACTACATTCTAATACAACGTAGTTTTGACAAATCTGTGACACTAGTGGATTTTGACATCCAAATATTAATTATGGTAGTAAAGATCAGATTTTAGCTATGCATCATGATAAAAACTTGTTTTTGAGAATTTCTGTAAAAAAAACAACAATTAGTTTGTCTAAAATTTTAGAAATTATTCATTCAGGAATCCCTCTGAAATTAAGAGTAAATTAACATAGTCTCAGCCTCTTACAACTCGTATCATATGGGTGGTATTTTAAAGCAATATTTGCCTTAAACAATATTTCAAACTTTTCCATTAATTCTCTACAATAAAAAAAAAACTTAAATATTTTTTAGTTTTGTTTGGACCCAAATCGGTGGCTTTTAAGATTTAATCACCATTCGTGAAGAGACGACGATGGTGTACCTTGGTCACAATTACTATGAAGCAGACGATTGATACAAGTCGATGTATGTACCGTAGCGAAGCCACATTTACTCACTTACACACTATGTACAGCTTATCAGCTTTATTAGATGTATTTCTCACCCCTATTCTTCATATGTTAATTCCTGGCCAAGGAGATGAATCAGAAATATTTCTTTCTTTTTTAGACCCATGACTCTATTAAGAGCCAAAGGACTGAGAAACTTACCTCAAGAGCTTTTCTGCAGATAAATAGTCTAAATCGGATTAAAATATTCGAAATAATGTTGTCCGTTCAATTCCGATACAATGCATATTCTGACTCAAAAATATCTGTATTTAAAATACTGTACTTAACATTAATGGTTTTACTTCAATACCTTCGAAAGGATTCGGTGCGGCTTCGATGCCTCTCTTTATAAACCGGTTTGAGAACAGTAATCCTACTGGATTCCTTCAGGTAGGGCTGAATCTTACGGACACGAACAGCATCCCTATCTGTTTGTATTTTGTAATAATTTCATTATCAACAGTCAATCGCTTTCGGAACGTGGAGAGATCGATGCGTTGCTGCAGACTTTCGTTCAGACGTGTTGCTCGGAGGATGAGGGGCACTCCTGGAAATATCCTATCTTCGCTGTTGCAGAAAATGCCTAGGCAACTTTCCTTGCAGACTTAAATTTAATATTTAAATTGTTTCGTGAAATACAAAACCATCGCATGTCTTCTTTTTGCTACGAAGAATAATAACACACTCTTTCTAGGGAAACGCCTAAAACCCTCAAATATTTGTTGATATGCCGAGAGTTGAACCCGTCATTCTCGCATCAAAGTCTGAGACGCTAAACATTGGGTTATCAACAAAATCAACCCACGCAAAATCATTAATGAAGTGAGCTCTCGAACATAACAAGTTACCCTCGTATGAGAAACGCCAGCTTTTGTTTTCTCCGTAGGAGGACCCATAACTACAGGTAGGCCCAAAGTACTCAAGATGAGGATACAATGAGTAATTTGTGATTGACCGGATTTGAACCCTTGTTTCAAAGACGGAAATCCCGTGCTCTAGTTAACTAGGCCAACCGCGTACCATCTATATTTTTATTACGGTGGCGTGCTTACGTATCTTTGACCATTTGAAGTGTAAATACCTCTTTTGGTACCGGTTATCATTTGACAAGCAAAGCTCTTGTTCACTTGATGCACTTTTCCGTTTTACATCCAAATACATCCACTGGACGCCAACCCATTAAATTTTACAGTTTCCATGATAATCGAACATTGTGAACCAAATCAACTGATTGCAAATCAATCAATCTGTCAAGATATAATACCAAAAGTATTTTACACTCGGTCTATTTAAAAATAATTGGTATCTTAAAAGATATCTTCTCCCAAAATATACTTTTTTAGGTTACAACAAAATCCACCTTCAGGTCTTCATCCCGTTTGCTTACTAATCCGTCATATAATCTTACAACACTGTCTTTTTTTAATCAGCTGATGTGATTTTATGTATACCTTCGTGACTTATAATCTGTATCCATACAATAGTATTTGCTTGAAATGGATCAAAACATTATAGGATTACCTTGAGTTGTCCTTACTGAGCTATATATAAATATACTGGTGTATTTATGGATTCCTTCACTGCATTACAGATTTCGACATGTAGACATAAACAAGTTTGGTGCGTTTCTTGGCCGTGAATTAAGCTAATTGGACGTTCAAAACCAATTAGCCTATATTTAACTTATATACAAATCTTGCAGAACCTTACTAGTAGTTGCTATAGCCAACAGTATTTCGTATTAACAGAAATATATAACGTTAGTATCATTCATATAATGAAATTAACCGAGAAATGTTAGTGAACAAACCCATGAAAAAAGAATATTTTAAACAACATAAATTTTGGGATTCGTTAGTTTTTGTACATGATTACTTCGCAATTTCGTGCTTATACTGCCCTCTTTAATATTTGTAAATCAGAAACTCATTTCCCGTACATTTATTAACTTTGTTTAATGACTCTTCACCTAGCCAATTAAAAGGTTAATATGAACATTGAAATAATTATTTTACAGTGTTATCGTCTTACAACACGATTAGGAAACAAAATAACAGTGATTTAGAGCTGAAATGCTGTAGGAAGTGAAATAATCGTAAATGCTAATAGGCGTATAGAGAATTCTTTTTTGTGTTTGTTTTTCAACTGAAATTAAAACTATGGAAATCCAACAGTTGATGCATCTTTCCTTCGGTCACTTGACCGCAAATAAAACTACACTACTTGATGCGCCACTTCCAGAGACTTGGAAATAATCCCAGTTTGCAGATTTACTAACATCTATAATATTTATACAGGAACAATATATAGGAACAATAAAACTGCCACCGTATAAAGCATATGCTGAAGTCGAAGTCAATGCTTTACAAAATTACACTCGAACATGATAGTCCAAATGTTAACTTTAAACTGAATGTGTTAAAATGTCAAAAATACATTCTAATCCAATATCTGTTGCCATTTTCAAATGTGGTTGATCCTTGCTGTATTATGGCCAATTGGTTGCGTCATTTATTGAACGTTTCACGAGAACAATGAATTTTTCTAACCAATGATGATTTCACCATTTTCCTAATTGAAATGATAATTATAGTGCTCAGTAGAAATGTAATCCCTTTTCGTTCATCTCCGTACGCATGAAAGTACACCATCGAGTTTTGAATCCTGGAGTATCCAAGAACCAGATGTAGCCAACTTTTATTCAAAAAGAGCATTGTTGAAGAAGCCACTCAAATTGTGCACTGCATTCAACATTTTTTTCTTTTAGTTTTTGGCAAGTTACTATGGTATTTGATGTGACGTACAAGATGCTGTAGCTAATCATAGGGGTTTCTTTTAATTTAGGTTTGTTAAAAGTTTGCATATGAACATAAATCCATATTTGACATCATGACTTTCTGTCGATGGCCCGATTCAACTACTTCACCTAGTCTTTAAAATCTTGCAACAAATCTTTATTCCATCCAAACAAAGTACTGAAATCAATTTCAATTCTATTATCAATTATCAATTATTTAAGATGGGGACGCCACTATGTGCGTATTTTAACCCAAATATGAGTGAAGGATGAGTGGCGCGATCTTGTAGTCTAGTTAGTGACTAAGGCCGACATGTTCCTTAGTCACAGCTGTTAATTAATAGCCCATACAGCTAATGGCAACTAAGGGACCTACAGTTTATAGTGGAATCCGAATCACATTTTTTCCTTGTAATTTACGAATTGGTCTAATTATCAGGATAGTACTGCGGATA